AACGAACATATATTGTTCATTTTTAATTTATTTATTGCATTAGGCAGTTTTTGATCAGCTTGACGGTTGTTTGGCAGGGTGTATTAGTTGCTCCCTAAAATTTAGCTAATAGTCTACAAGCCGAGAGTCTAACATTTGGAGGAGTTGCGGCTTATCTGCCTGTTTAGATCCTCTCTCTCACTCACTCACATTCGCTCTCTCTCTCTCTCTCTCTCTCTCTATCTATCTATCTATCTATCTATCTATCTATCTATCTATCTATCTATCTATCTATCTATCTATCTATCTATCTATCTATCTCTCTCTCTCTATATATATATATATATATCTTTCTCTATCTCTCCCTCTCTCTCTTTAGGACTTTTATCTTTTTTTGTTGAGAGTATAGGTTCTTAAGCTGATGTACATCTTAGCTTAATAATAATCATTTTACCGTAAGGTAGAATATGAGGCAAAAGTATGAAACAGTTCTTTTTATACAGGCTCTTACTTTTTCCCGTCGAATGTCGGACAATTTCTCATATTTCCTGATTTCTGATCCGCTAAGCACGTTTTTATTTTAAATTATTTATCAAGCAATGCTTTTAAATACTAGTAAGTTTATACGCCCTAGAAGGTTTAGAGTTGATACAAACAAACCTCATTTTTAGCTGAATCAATTTTTACACAATTTCATCGTCCATTTTTAGACTGATACCACTCCTAAACTCTTTAACTTGTAAGCGAGCTGATTTTTCAGCATGTGTTGGTACTTATCTGCCTCTAAAGTAATTGAGAGTTTTATTAGTTCCCAATATTTTAAGTCCTATTAAGTCGGGTCAGTTAACAAATCTCCTGAGTTTTGACCGGCTTTGCTGCAGCAGGTCTGCAGTAAGTTTAGTCTAAACTTTACGGTCAATACTCAGTCCTAAATTGTTGATGTATTGGTTTTTTCAAAGGCAGTTTTATTTCTTATTATTTTCTTATTTGTATATTATCATTTATTATTTCACTATTATTTGTTAACTATACATTATTACTAATGTGTGGTGATTAGTGACCGTTAATCGATATTTATTTAGAAATCGTGAGATGCGGCCTGGTGTGATGTAGGTTTGAGAAAAACATTTTCTTTATCGCGCCAACGTTTCGATCTTTATTGAGATCATCTTCAGGGCCTGGGATTTACAAACATTGTTTACATTTAACAAATACATTTAGGATGTGAAAAAGTGAATTTATACAATGCAAAATATATTTTTTATATATTCAATCAAAGTATTTCTACTCACTCAAAGTGTTTGTCTTCTGTGTAATTGTGCCATTCTTGCCTGTTGTGTCGAGAGTGCCAGTGAGATTTGCTATTTTGTGTTTATATACGTTGGATTTTGAAGGGGTGTATTGTATATATATAAAAAATACATTTTGCATTGTATAAATTCACTTTTCCACATCTATGTAAACAATGTTTGTAAATCCTAGTCCCTGAAGATGATCTCAATAAAAATCGAAACGTTGGCACGATAAAGAAAATGTTTTTCTGAAACCTACATCACACCAGACCGCATCTCACGATTTCTAAACAATTATTACTAATACTATTATTTCCTCACTTATTATTACTGCTACTATTATATTTCTATGTTTTTTATTTTGTATTTTGCGATTTAGTTCAACTTATTTTACTTTATGTTAACACCAAATCTTCATTAATTCAAGTTCCAGATTTGTAAAAAACATTTTGGGACCTTTTTTATTCTTAGGGGATTCTAGTCCCAGAATAAAGTATTCTCTCTCTCTCTCTCTCTCTCTCTCTCTCTCTCTCATTCTCTCTCTCTCTCTCAGTTTTGTCTCATCGCTAATAGTAGCATTAAAAACTTATATTCAATACATATGATGTTTTAAATTGACGCAACTCCAGGGCTGTTACGACAGTAATTGAAGGTTGACGACGTGTTGATGATATATTACGTGGTGTCAGGATTTGCTAATCTGTCCATAATCTAATAGCGCTCTGCAATCTCATTAATTTATTAACAATGGAATCCAATTTAAATGTTAATATCCCAAGGCCGAAAGACCAAACATTGACCACAGGTGCCCCAGAGGTGATAAGGTGCAAAAATGGGTCGATTAAAAGTAAATTTTAATCGAGATAACTTTTTCCATCAAATTAACACTTTTTTGCACCAAATTAATCTTTTCAAATTCCAAATGAATTTTTTTATCTTTAAATTTATTTTTTAAATTTCAAATTAACTCTTTTTTGCATCACATTAATTCTTTCTAATTTCAAAATATTTTTTTTACCCTTAAAGTTACTTTTTTATTTTTAGTTGAACGTTTCAATTTTAATTAACCATTTTTCATTTTAAAATAACGCTTTTTTTTAAAAAGTTGGAAAATAATAAATAAATAAAATAATTTCGCTCCGAAGAACGAATAATTTTTTTTGTCAAATTGAAGTGTGACAGTCTTCTAATTTTTATCCTATACATGCTAGTGCATATTACAAATTTGATGCCAGTACGTTTTTAACACGGTTATAACACATGCTCGAGAAACCTGCCAATGCACTCGGTGTGAGGGATTAAGGGCCAAGAAATCTCGAGGCTACCGTCCATGAAATCAGGTTCTCCTGAAGGGAATGTGTATGGTGGTAACAATTGAAACTTTTTAAATCGGGAACTGACTTGTTAGTTGACAAAACAAAAACAAATGTTGCGGATAGTGAGGTTAGTGACGTAGAGGAGGGACGTTTGACAGTTCCACTCCATATTTCCAAAGTGGACGCAGTAAAGACTTTTGAATGTTAGTTTAGTGTTGACCGTCAACACGGATTTCAGCCCTAGAAATATTCGAATTTGTCCAACTTTTAAATTATTGTCTCGTAAGTTTCTTCGTCAGTATGTTGTCTAAGTTTAATACTAAGTTGAACGGAAGTCGGTATCTCTGATGTTGAGGCACAGTTGAAGGCAAGACTGATTGGTTCAATGTGAACACTCACTGAGTATTTTTATAGTCTTGTTCTACACTTATTGCACCAGTTTTCTATAAACTCAATGTATTTTTGGATGTTAGACATAGTTTGTAATTAGATAGGATTCGAGTTTGGACAATATTGCTGTAGGCGGTATAAATGATGTAAATGATGGACCAAGAATGTTCCCTTGTAGTATGCCGGATTGTATTGGCCTGATTTCCGAGAACTCTTTGACATACTTGAATCTGAACTAACAGTCGGTTAGACAGGATTTCAGGAAAGGTAAGAAGTGAATAAGAGCAGAAATTTATAAAGCATGCCCGAATGCTAAACACAATCAAAAGTCTATGCTACATCTAGAAACGCCAATATAAAATCATTGGTCTTTTAAAAATGACAATTTCTTACTTATGTAGAAATCGTGAGATGCGGTCTGGTGTGATGTAGGTTTCAGAAAAACATTTTCTTTATCGTGCCAACGTTTCGATCTTTATTGAGATCATCNATTTGAATAATTCACTTTTCCACATCCAAAATGTAACTGTTACATGTAAACAATGTTTGTAAATCCCAGGCCCTGAAGATGATCTCAATAAAGATCGAAACGTTGGCACGATAAAGTAAATGTTTTTCTGGATCCTACATCACACCAGACTGTATCTCACGATTTCTAAATAAATATCGATTAACGGTCACTAATCACCACACAATTTCTTACATTTTCCAATTTCAGAAAGACGTAACGTTTATTTTTATGTAATGTTTAATATACTCGTTCATTTTCATTATAATTAATTTTTTATATAGTTTTTCATTTACATATAAAAAAAATCCTAAATTAAAATAAATATAATTTGTATGATTTTTATTTCTCAGGTTCTCAAATATAAAAATATACAGTGATTTTATACCATCTTTAAGTTATTTTCATTCTGTAAAGAAAGAATTAATGTAAAGTTAAAAACGGTAATTTGAAATTGAGAAAGGTTAATGTGATGAAAAATAATTTGAACATAAAAAATGGTAATTTGGTGCAAAGAAAGGTTAACGACAGAATAAAGCTATAAATAATACTTTGACTAATTTAAGATACATTACAATCGATTATTTTTTGTGAGGTGTGATGTACTATATAAAGAATTAAATTCACTAATTTCGTGGTCCGCTTGACTAATTAATATATTACAATTAATTAAGGTTTTTAGTTGAGATAAAAAAGTCAATGGCACGAGCGGGATTCGAACCCTCGATCTTCGGCATAAATACGCCGCTGCTCTATCACTTGAGCTATCGTGACCTCGATCCACTCGGACACCAACCTCCCATCTCAACCGCACCTTTTCAATATTCCCTCCCTTTTGCCATTTTTCAAATGTCGTGTATTGGATTGGATTTTATCTCAACTAAAACCCTTAATTAATTGTAATGTATAAAGAATATAACTAGAATTAGCGGACCACTACCTATCAGTTGTTGAATAATTGGCTTTAATAAGTCTTGTAAAAATGGGTAAGAGTTGGGATTTAAAAAATTAAGAATTTGAGAGGCCATGAACGATTTTTCCCCCCATTCTTTTATTTATATTTTGTTTCGTACGGTCAATCAGAAGTTTCATTATCTTTTAATTCGAATAGGCTCCAGAATAGGTTGAATTATTCCCGATTTCGCTCCAGACTCAGATCCGCGCTGGTTCGGGCCGACCGCAAGATGTGACTGGGGTTAATGGGCACTCATGTTCAGCCGGAGAGGTAGGCAAGTTGTGGCTACGTTTCAGGGGCGGGGGCTTCTGAACTATGAGCCTTAAGTAAGTAATTAAGGCTCACATCCGTCCCCTCTACTAACACTGTATCGCCATCTGGTTCCTCCTAATTGAATTTCGCCTAATTTATACCTATAGACCGATCGGGATGACAAACTTGAAGCTGGTTTTTCGACAACTGCTGATCCGCTTAGTTCGGCTGTTATTCGGTTTTTGCCTGTACTTGTGAATCATTTTCAGATACAGCAAAACAGTTTCTAATGTTTGTTTTATTTCTAGGTGGAGGTAGTGATGATAGCGATGAAGAAGCAGCGCCACCGGCGGAGACGGCTTTAGTCGAAGAGCTCCCCCCTGCGGCAGAAGATGAAGAAGCTGCAGCTCGCATGAGGCAGATGGTACAGCTTTCTTCGAGTCCTTTGTTAGCTCAAACGTAAGTAAATCCTGTCTTGGCCGGCTGTAGGATGAAACTGGTTAAAAGAAATGATTATATCTTTACGCCTGTGCCCGTGTGTGTTGCAATCTTAGATTTGTTTTTTTTGATAACCTTATAGTATGTTGATAATTAATAAAAAGTTAAGGAAAGACGACGGATATGATTAAATTATGATATAAACTTGTAATTTGGTCGTTATCGATCATCCTGGTCTGCCTGGGTTCGCTGTGTTGTCAGTCGGGCGGACGCGTTTCGGCATTTCGCCATCTTCAAAGTGTCAAAAAGAAATCATGCAGAGATTTCAATAAAGACGACTTCGGCACTATTTCTGTCAGACCATGCGAACATACCAGCATGATCGATAACAGCCAAAGTATATACGATTATTAACCTTTATTAATACCGGTTTATTTGGTTTTACAGAGAACTGTCTACAAGCCAAAGCGATTTCTTTAAAATGCTGGATGAAAAAATAAATAATGTGAGTATTAAGTTTAATGTATTCGTATGGCATTAAGTATAACTCCGTTTTGTCCACAGGGTCCAGACTACGACCCAAATGGAGAATACGAATTTGCCATGGACCACTCCCAGCTTTGCAGACTGCTGCAAGAATGGCAAGCCGCCAAGCAGAGGTCGATGTACGGCATGCACAAAAAACCGATGCAGAGGTACCACTCGCTCCAGAGCAACGGCGAGCTCGGCGCGGCGAGGCACAAGCTGCAGCACCAGATGACCTACGCCACGGCCGCCCCGCCACCGCAGCAGTTCGTGTACGCGAGCCAGTACGACCAGTACCCCGTGCCCCAGATGAGACACTACCAGCCGCCCCCTCCGCCTCAGTACCACCCCCAATACCACCACGTCGCTAACAGTGTAGTCATGTACGACAAAAACAGGGGTGGCTATTACACCGAGCTGGCGTGACCCCAGCCGCAAGAGGGGTTGCCACCCCCTGCGCCCTATCTCCCTTATCCCTGGACTTTGGAGTAACGGCGATACTCTTCTTCCCGTATCTCATGCCCCTACCCCCTTGTGTATTTGTGATGTTTAGTAAATAATATAAGTTTTTAATAATAAAAATAAACAATAGTCATAATTGCGATTTGTTAAATTTGTCAGCGATCAGAGAACACCACCTCCTGTTACTTGATCGTTGACTTAATACTTTTAAATACTTTAAAGTAATATTTATAGTTTTGTTTGTTAATCTCGGAGAACATGTCACAGAGTAAAGAGACAATGACCAACCTTAACATAATATAAAATCTATTTAATTAGTTATCTGTTTATTATTGATTATTATTTCTAATTTTTTGTACAAAGTCAGTTGAGAAGAAAAATTAGTGTCCAGCTTGTGACGCCAATATTTCTTTACAACTGTCTTTGCATAAAAATTAGAAATTTAAAAGTTGCCAACTTCAGAAGGTTAAAGAGAAATTATCTTCCATTCTTTTGCAAGGATAAAATTCTGAGACATCTTCGCTATTTAAAATGTTATCTACTAAATTAATTAATAAAATTAAGCCAACTAAATTAACATAAAACTTTTTTTTAGAGTTTTTACTTTTTTTTCTGAACAACCTTCATACAAATTTTAAAAGGCAATCTCTGCTCTGTGATATAAGCAATTATGGGATTTTCAAACGCGAATATTGTCAATTATAAACCATGTTAGAGACATAAGGGTTTTTCACAAAATTTGTTATATTGATTCAATTTATCAGTTTACTTATAAATAATAAAAACACGAGAGAGATAATGATATAATTATATTAAAACTATGTATTATACCTATGTAAATATAACAGTCTACCAAAAAAAAGAAAAAAAAGAACATTTACCAAAATAAGTTATGTACAAATGTTATAAAACGTGTGAATGTAAATAATATTAAAAGGGATGTAAAATAATTACATATTAGGAAAACCAAAGTTAGGTTGAAGATTGAAATGGTCTATAAAAATGTATGCAGATCTACCTCTTACACAAAAAATTATAATATAACGGAATAAAACGGGGAGTAATAAAACCGATTAGTATTAGGTTTTATCGCCTGGAAGTTAAAAAATATGTAAGGCGTTAGAAAATAAAGTGAACAGGATTCCATTGACCAAACCATTTTCCTGACTAGATTTCCTAAAATTTTGTAAATAGGCATTAGCCGTTAGATTAAAAGAACTAAACAAATATAGATAAATAACAGTTTAAGATTTTCAATATGATTTTTATTTAAATTTGAATAAAAAATTTAAAACTGAAATCATATCCGAATTTTTACAAGCACTTAATACTTGATTGGAAAATAAGCACCAATCCAGACTATTTTGTTTTTAACTTTGCTTTCTGCTCTTCCTTCTTGTTCAATCTTCACTGGTTAATTAAATAACAAACTTGTATTTTTTTCTCTTTTAGACAGCATGAGCGTATTTTCTATTTCTATTTAGTATTTTCTACCATATTCTGTTATAAAATGACTGATGTTACTATATCACTTGCCCATACTATTTGGGCTTAGTTTTTTAAAATCAATTTTAAAATTTTAAGCCCCTCTCGTTTTATTTCTTTTAAAAATGAAATATTAAATCCAGGATTTTTTTCATCGAGACATTCTTAGAATGTGTAATTTTTTAAATGTATAAATAAAAACTATAGTTATATTTTTGAAATATATATTTAAAAAATATATGTAACCAAAAAAAAACAAATTTTATAAAATTTTTCTCCCCTTATGTCTAGTGCCTGTTTAAAATATGAAAATAAATAACTTACAATGTGTAATGTTAAGAACCATTCCAAATCCACATAAATTTTACTACAAATAAAAAGATAAACCTTTTTTAAAACAATTTATAACTGCTTGAATTTTAAAATATCATAAAAAAATTTCAATTTATTTTTATATTCAAGTTAAAGAAATGTTTACAATAGTATAAGAAGGCTTAAATGTAACAAAAGAAATATTTTATTTCTTCATAATAAAGTTACATTTTTACATGTTCCGATTAATAAAAACTATAATAATAATCTTACTGTTAAAAATGAAATATTTACTATCTTTTATAAATTCATTTACTTTAAAAAAAAGGTAACACAATGCTTGTATGTTTTCCGGAAAATTTTTGTGTTATCATCGAGATCAATTATGTTTTTCACCCCTTCCTTTTATTGTTGAATGTTTATAATAATATCAAACGTTATGTTGTTTTATTTTTAAAAGTTTGATACGTAAAAAACAATTTTTATTTTGTCTAGTCATGTAATGTTATATTATTAAAAAACTAGGTTATAAAATGAGTCAGACTTTTCAAGGGAAATAAAAATTTAAAAAAATATGAATAAATAAAAGAATATAGATGTAGAATTTATCCTGTTCTGAAATATATAAAAAATAAAAATATCTTTGGAATGCATTTTATAAATTTTACGGAAAAAGTTTAAAAAAAATGCATTCTGATATTAATGTGATATTTTGTAGTTTTAATTCTTTATTAAAAAATAAATAATATTGCAATTTGTTAATCACAGTTGACTGCACGATTGTAATAACAATTTAACAATCTGGTCTGTTTTTTGTTACGTTAAAAAAAATCAAGCCAAATCAAATTTGCCTAAGTTGACATTAGTTAAACCAACAATTTCGTCCTCTTTTCTCATGAAATTTGTACCAACCTCACCCAAGGAGAAACTGTGAGAAAAGTTATGTTAAAAAAATACTGTGTAAATTATTGTAATGTGATTGTAAAGAAAAAACAAATTTGTTAAGTTTCTCAAAGTCTATAATCGTACCGTTTGTATTGATTTGTTAAAGAAAAAAAACACCTCAGTTGTAATAATGAACAATCAAAATAAATGTATTTATGGACTTGACATGTTTATTTTAAGCTCGTACGGTTTGATTTCCTATTTTGACGATTATTTTTGTATAATCAACGATAAAATTATAATTTGATAAGTTTCCTGCAGAATCAAATGCCGAACGTGTGGTAATGTGACAACTTTTAACCCGAATATGAAGATATAATCATACAAAATGAGAAGAATGACAACTTGAGCTTAAGGTTTTTGTCCTTGTCAAACGAAGACAGACAGACAGAAGGAGAAAGAGAGCAGGTGAGAGAGAGAATATCAGAGAGGCAGTGAAGAGAGACTGAATATGAAAGGGTAAAGAAATGTTAATAGGGTAGGAATAAGGAAAGATTGATAATAAATAAGGAATAGAAGAAAGGATGAGAAAGAGTAAGAAAGATAGAGAGAGAGAAAAAAAGGTAAAGTACAGATTGATCGAGATAGAATTATAAATAGGAAGGGAGATAAAGATAGAGAGAGAGAGAAAAAAAGAGAGAGAGAGAAAAAGAGAGAGAGATAAAGAGTGATAGATGCATAGTTAGATATGTAGTGATAGGAAGAGAGATTGATTGATATCGCTTAATTTACATAATCTCTCAAGATTCGGTCTCGATCTAAAGAGAAGAGAGAGTGAGGGAGAGAAAGAGAGAGAGAGTGATAGATGGATAGATAGATAGGTAGGGATAGAAAGGGAGAGAGAGAGAAAGAGAGAGAGAGAGCCAGAGAATATCAGAGAGCAGTGAGACTGAATATAAAAGTGTAAAGAAATGTTAATAGGGTAGGAATAAGGAAAGATTGATTATAAATAAGGAATAGAAGAAAGGTTGAGAAAGAGTAAGAAAGATAGAGAGAGAGAAAGAAAACTAAAGTAGATAGATTGATCGAGATAGAATTTGAAATAGGAATGGAGAGAAAGATAGAGAGAGGGTGAGGGAGAGCTAAAGAANATATGTAGCGATAGAAGCTAAAAAAATATATATATATTTTTTTAGAGAGAGATAGAGTGATAGATGGAGACAGTCAGAGTTAGATAGATAGGTAGAGATAGAAACAGAGAGGGAGAGAGAGAGAGCGAGAGAGAGGGAGAGAGAAGATAGAGGGGGAGAGAGAGAGAAAGAACGAAAAGAGAGAGAGAGAGAAAGAACGAAAAGAGAGAGCGAGAGAAAGAGAAAGAACGAAAAGAGAGAGAGAGAGAGAGAGAGTGAGAGATGGATATATAGTTAGATAGATAGGTAGCGATAGAAAGAGAGAGAGTGAGAGAGAGAGCTAAAAAAATATATATATTTTTTTTAGAGAGAGATAGAGTGATAGATGGAGACAGTCAGACTTAGATAGATAGGTAGAGATAGAAACAGAGAGAGAGAGAGAGAGAGAGAGAGAGAGAGAGAGAGAGAGAGAGAGAGAGAGAGAGAGGGAGAGAGAGAGGGAGTGAAATGGGAGTAATGGTATAGGGAAGAGACAGTGAGCAACATAAAATAGTTTGAACCATATTCTGTAATAAAATATATACTTAAATGAAGTATAGAGAAATATGTAAGGCAATAAAAAACATGTAGCTAAACAAACACATTTATTAATTTTTGTAACTATATAGTAACACATCTAATAACATAGTTTATCTTTGTTCTTTTAAACTCATATCTAACCAACTTGTACATTATATGGTAACTTAGTCCACAGCGTGAACTATTCGATCCGGTGACGGTTCGAACGTGCAACAAGACAATGCAAACTTCAACAAACAATGGTAAACATACAGGATTAAAATAGGTTAAAGCGCAAACATATCAACACATGAAATTATCACAGCAATTTTGTCGTTCAATTTGACAATTTTGTTTATACTGTTTGAAAATACCCCGAAAATGTTTAACTATATCTATAAGATCTGAAGAAAGAAATCGTGATAAGACGTGATATTGTGAGTTTTAAAGTTGAATATTAAAGTAATTTTATTATTATATATACGAATCCTATCACAGCGATTGTCATTTTATTTATTAAACTGGCCCATACTATTTTGACACATTTTGTTCCAAAAAAGAGATGAATAAATGGTAAATTCCTACATAATAAACATTTTTGTTTGAATTTTTTTTAATACAAATTGACTAAGATTTGGCAGTTTTTTAATAAAATCAAATAGTCTAAATATTTTTCTTTTTAAAACAAGAATCAACCCTTTTTTAGAAAATTAAAACGTTCAGAGCTGCGCATCCTCATAATGGCCGTCCTGTCAAAAGAAAACAACTTGTTAAAACGTTTCAAATTTTATTTTCGAGAATGCGATAAAAGATCCGCCCGTTGTTTTACACCGAGTCGACTTTTCGAAAAGTTTTACAATCCAGGTAAAAAGAGATTATGTCTCCCAAAAATATGCAATTACAATTATACTATTCCAGGACGGATCTTATATCCAGATACAAAAAATAAAATAAAGGAACATTGTTAATTTTTTTTTTTGTAAAATCTCGTTACAACTTTTTTGTTTTGTTATTTTTTTTTATATTATCAAATTGCAAACATAGTTTTGGGAGCATATTACAAACATACATGCATTTTATACATTGATGAGATTGGTGAACATCGAGAAATATTTACGGACAACGGGTTCCTCCCTGTCGTAACGAGATTTTACGAAAGTTACGTCAATAAACTAAAAACATGAAGTCACTACACAGAGAGGAAATCCTTAAATTGTTTATATTTGAATAACAATTGTTTATGTATAGCTCCCTTCCCTTTTTACAATTTTGACACCAAAGTTCATTTTCATCTAAAAAAAACAAAACAAAAAACTGAGATTCATGCTAATTTAATACAATTATAAACATGCTCGAAGCATTCTTCCTTTTCATGCTTGGCTTTAGTTTTTAACCGATAGCTTTTTTTCAAAATAAACTGTTTTCCAATTGCAAAACAAGAACTTTGATGTAAAAAATTGATTTGTTAAATCTCTTAGCATTGATAACAGCTCAATGTCAAAAATTTTTAACTGTTACAGGTATAACATTTCGGTCCGCCTGTCCAAGCTCTGGATAACTATATCAGACGTGGTTCTCCATCTTCAATCTGTAAAGAGCCCAACACAGCGAGGATAGGCGGACCAAAATAGTTTGGAACAAATTTTAAATTGTCGTTTCAATCAAATTATTTTTTGTAATTATTCGAAAAAATGGAATATCAAATTGATTCTGTTTTTAAAGAATATTCAAAAGAATGGTCTTGAAATTATATCGTACCCATGGGAAAAGTGTTATTCAAGTCTATATAATTTTACTATTGTTACTATAAATGTTTTATCTTTAAATTTAAACTGTTCTTTATATTTTTAAGTTCAACGTCAAACGAGTATTATTTTTTCTTTTCGCCTCTACTTTAGTAGGTTGTAAAAGCGAGTCGGTGCGAACCCACGTGACGGCAGATCGATTTAACGCCCATCTTACAACTTCTGACCTGGGCCATTCTGTTCAAATAATTTGGCTAGTATAATTAATTAATTAATCGTACATTGTATGAAGGTTTAAAACAAACTCTTGTTTGCATATTGTCATTTTACATTTTGGCACACGCAAATTTCTATTGTTTTATAGCGAAGAAAAATTAAATAATTAATTATTTAAGCTGGGTTGTTCTCGCCTTTTTTATGAAAAATCTTGTTTTAATAATCAACAGTTTTCAATATAATTTATTTAGTATTTTTTAAATATATGTTATTGTCATTGTAACAGTTTTAACTACTACTCGTGCAATGAACAATTCTAGGTAGGTCTGTATTTGTTTAATTTAATTTTATTTACACATTCTTCTTAATTCTTATCACTTATCGATAAAAATTTTACTGGATTTTTCTAAAAATGTTATATTTTAAATAATATTTTTGTAGATAATGTTGTTCCAGCGTGAATGTTGTAGAAAAGTTCATATAAAAACATTACCTAGTTTGATAATTATCGGCGATTCATTTTGAATAAAAAGCTCAAAATTAAGTTTTATTTTTGTCTAAATTAAAATAGCAAATACGTCTAGTTTTACTAAAAGCAACGTGCAAAGTTTAATTTCTTCTCTTTTTTGTTTTGAAGCAGTGCACAGTTTAAATTAGAAAAGAAAATTTGCTTACCAACTTTAAAAATTAATCATAATCCTCTTGCAAACATGGCTTATGCACGATTTGGACTGTTGTAATGACCAGCCTTGACAAAACGTGAAAGAAAACCAACAGAAACAAAATTGTAAGGTTGTAGTTTGATCAAAACGAAAAATCCTTCAAAATAAGGACCTAAGTAAGTGCAAGGAGCAAAAGAAACCATTCGGTTACATTACAAGACCTAATTTTGATTCTGGCCACCCAGGGAACTAAAAACAAAATAACCACTGAACAATTAGAAAGTTAACGTTATTTGTCCTTGGTAAGATCGATAAATCATTATGAGAGACATCACAAGTCGGATAATCAAGAAAGACCAAGGTGAAATTAAATCAAACCCAAAATCGAGAGTAAAAAACAGAAAAAAATTAAAACCCTGAGAGCCTAAATTTTACCAAAATGTACCACTTGCATTATATGCAAAAGCCAATACAATCTAAAGGTAGTACAGTACAAATAAGATTTTCATAAAGACTCGCATATAAAAATCTAAGAAGCATAAACTATATAAAACAAGGAGTCTATCATAAACAAATGTACTTACAATCTAAAAAAGCCCAGCATTACAAAAAGTACTTTTCAATCAGACCTAATTGAGAAAAAAAACCAGGTCTAAGTTGAACTGATGTTAATAAGACCCTGAAAATATACAATCTGAAGTATTATACTGACTATACCTTTCATTGCACGTACAACAATGAAATGTTCTATAGTGACAAGCAATAATAAATAATAGACATGACATATCAAACATGAACCAAATATTTAAGCAAAATCTTATCAAGCTAGTTGAAAGGGATTAACCTCGCATATTTTGAAATGCACTACAATCCAAAAATAGTTCTATAGCAGAAGTGGATAAAAATCCAATAGACATAAACTGATAAAGAACATGGAGTCTGGCATGCATTCAAATATACGTATAACGAAAAAACGTTCAATTTATATCAACACCCTGAAAATGTATAAATGAACGGACCATCTGAAGTTCTTTGAACAAAAAATGATAAATACCCTTCACGTAAATTCTAATCGATCAAGAAGCTTAAATTCTCCTCTTGTAAGAAAATAAAGTCCTAGCATGTGTTGCACATATCGAAATTGCACAATTTCAAGAAATGTACAAAAGACAAATCATAATAAATAAATTATCGATTAAGAAATTATTAAGCAAAAACCGAGGCCAGTTGATGGGCATGAAACCGTCGGCAGCACGTACAATACAAAAATTAGCACTGTAGGCTCAAATCATTGAACCAAAATCCTGGAAAAACAATCTGTATATTATGCGGAGTATGATATGCAAATGTAAGTTTAAAAGATCAAGGTGGAATTCAACTGTCGTAAATGTACAAATGTACGTACAACCTGAGAGTTCTATACAAACAATAATTGAATAACACCTTATATAATTCAGGTGATCAAGCAAGCATAAAGACCTTCATTTCGCCTGATGTTACAAAAGATGGCCCTAGGCCTTTAATTACATGTACTATCCAAAGAAAAGCTCTATAGATACAAACAATACGAAAATAATAGTCAAAATCTTTACAGACGGGTACAAGACCGGCGATGGTGTGGCGTGTGCTGTGTATAGCGAGGGAGTGGCACCTCCTGGCCGTTGCCCCCTCATTGCAGGGTATACACGGCAGAGCTGTATGCGATTTGGCACGCTCTCGAGGCGGGCTCAGCCTTCCTCATATGTACCGACTCTCTGAGCGCTGTCTGGGGTATACGCGACAGGTTCTCTGTAGACCCTCTCGTCGTGCTCTTGTTAGAGAAATACGCGGTGATCGAGCCTCTCGGAAAAACGGTGGTTGTTGTCTGGATTCCCGGACACGTCGGCCTGGAGGGTAACGAACGTGCGGACGAGGCGGCGAAAGCCGGTACGTCCCACCCTCCAGATAGGACCATCGCGATCAGCCCCCCTGACGCTAAACACGCAGTAAAAATTTGATAAAAGAAAGATGGCAGAGTCAGTGGGCGGGGTCGTCGAAGAGGCTCTTGCGAGTCAAGAGCACGACCGGTAGATGGCCCTCAGAGAATCTGAGCAGGAGACGAGGGATCGTCCTCACCCGACTGAGGATTGGCCATACGCGGTTGACACATGGGCACCTGCTTTTGGGCCAAAGCCCGCGCAGGTGCCCCTTATGCAGAGAAAGGTTGCTCGATGTAATAGAGGCGTGTCATGCCTCCATACAGAGAGCGTGTAGGCATGCCGCCGGACTTAAGAAGAATTCTCGAACACGGTAGCGAGTTTCAGAGTCCCCTGTTCCATTTTTTAGGGGAAATTTTTTTTTTATTGTATACAGTATGTCTTATGTGTTGTGTCTATATGTTTTGTCTGAGTGCATGTATTTATTAGCGTGAATGGCAAGGGGTGAAGGTGAAATCTAACGTCATCATCATCCCTCGAACGATGAGAGCGTAAGAGTGTGTGTTCGGGGTCGATGGCGGAATATTTATAATAGTACTCCATCGACCCAAATCTAGGTTAGTTTGAATATAGGGTCGGTGGAGGAATATCAAGTACTCCACCGACCAAACTGTACGAGTGTATTGTATGAATGTATTTATGTGTATCAATGTATTTATTTGTATGAATGTTGTGTTTGAAAGGGTAAATAGAATATAGACATAGTTGGGGGCTGGAAATGACCTAGATGTCGGAAGCCCCAGTCAAAAAAATAAAAATAAATAAATAGTCAAAATCATATCAAGCACAAACGAAATGTTTAAGTAAAGACCATTTGTCTCGTTAAAAACCGGCGAACCCTTCCAAAAAGTACATCTATCTAAAAAGTAATTCTACATCAACAATAAAGTTTTCTAAAAGGCATGATTGTACAAAAAATTCGAGAAGCATAAACTGATATCGAAAATGAGTCTGCCATGTATGAAAAGGTACGTAGAATCTAAAGACATTCAATACAAAAAGAAATAAGAAATAATTAATATTTTCAACCAGGCCTAAATGATTGGGGAAAAAATAGCACATGTTGATTCAACTGATGTCGACAAGACCCTGTAAATGTTCAAATGCACGTTCAAATGCATGTTAAATGTTCAAATCTGATGTTTTATACAGAATAACAATAGTCAAATACTTTCCACGTAAAAAGAAAGTGATAAAAAAAGCTTAAATTGGCGATGAAAGATGTTCCTAGCGCGTATTTAAATACACACAATGTGCAACATCAACAAATGTTCCATGGGGGCAAAACTAATCATTGTACATAAATCAAATATAAACAAATGTTTGAGCAAAAACCTATTAGGGCTGTTGATAAAGAATAAACCAGCATATGGCATAATATACGAAGTCTTAATTTTATTCAGAAATACAACATAAAAAATAGGGTGGAAATGACACGTACAAGCCGGACGTTCGAAACTTAACAATCTGAAATAAACTGGCGAAACAAAGAAAGATTCAATTGGAAATCTACCAAGGGGCCTGAAAATATACAATTACAACAAGAAGCTCTAGAACAAAATCGATCCAACAAAACAAAAACACTACAAAAGAAATCTAATCTAAGATATTTTAAGCTCCTGGTAAATAAAAAACTACAAACACTATAGCAACATAACTTCAAAGCCATAACCTAAAACTTAAAAGTTAAGGAAACTACTAAATAAAATAATATTTATTTTTTAATCTTATTCTAATTACTACATATGAGTCAATTATTCGAGCTTTCTTATTTTTGACTACGACAAAAGCTCTGCAATGCAATTCTTCTCAGTTTTATTCTAAAGCATTATGAAACAAATTGTTTATTGAATAATTTCTGTTACTTTTTTTCCCTTAATTGACATTTATTTACACTACTTTTCTGATTGTCCGGTTTTATCTGGCAATCTTGATAATTTACTATTTATTTAATTCACATTGCCTTTTATGAAATTGTTATGAAAATACTGTCAAAACTCGTATAATACTTGAAATCTCTATTTTTAAATATATAGATTTTGTCTTAATTTTTTTTGGTCTCTTATTCTTGAGAGGTTTAGGGCGTTTCTTTTTAAAATGGATAACTAAATTCTTTGGTCTAGACATGAAAAAATATATATAATTTTTTTATAGAGAAAAGAGGGCACTTGGATGAGCACATTATCTCCACCCCCTTGTAAGGAGTTTATTTAAATATTGTTAAAATTAAAAATGGAAGATTATTAGTTTTTTCTTTACTTTTATTTGAATCATTCGTTCTTTTTTGAACCATTTTAATTAGTACATAATTTTTTGTGCAATAATCGTGAATGTGAAACTGAGTGGCATCTTCAGTCTTGGTTAAGGCTCATGTTACTGCAAATTAATTTTATACCAAAAATTTTAAAAGGGTGCTTTTTTTCTCATGTGTGTGTGTTTTTTTTAAGTCATAAATTTGCATATTTGTTTAAAGATACGAGTCGGAGAATTCTAAATCGGAAGCGCTCGCCCGGGAGGAACGGGTATAAATTGAGACCCCGGCTCCGTAAGCGGAATCCGAAGTTCCTTCTCCAGTTATGTAGTCGGCAACGATGATATCTTTGTTTACCGTGAGCAAGTTTGTCTGGTCGGTCCCGATCCCTGTCTTCCCGTCTCCTCCTTTCAGGGCGTCTCTCTCGGCCAGCCTTTGCTTAAGAAGGCGTATCCTCTCCTCTTTCTGCGAACAGGGTGGTGAGGACAATGAAAATAATGAGAACAGCATAATGTGTTATGGAGACTCACGGCACTTATGAGTTTCTGCAGTTCTTCGTTCTCAGCGAGCAGTTTCTGATACCTGTCTTCGTCCTCCTTGGACACGCCGACGTCCGGGTTGTATTTGGATTCAGCTTTGTCCCTAGGATGCCTGATCACCTCTATCACCTAACGAAGAAAAACATACAAGCTCTTCAACATACACTCTCATAGTATAAATTTATCAAAAGAAAAGCACACACGTACAATATTAACGTATGGGCTCAAAACATGACCAATATCAACACGATGATATTAAACACATCAAAGGAGAGAAATTTAAACACGTATTCTGAACACACTGATAATTTTTATATCACGATATTGTTGAAATTGTCCATCTTTGATGCTAATACATATTTATTGAGTGATACCTTAGGTACGAAGATTAAAGCCATGGACAAGAAGCAGCAGAATATCAAAGCGAGTGAGACGAAAGTGAAACTTGCGTCTTGTTGTGAAGCTATGACCATTGTGACCGGAGCTGTGATGAGGCAGAGGACGACGACGTTGTAAATAGACATGCCGACGTAGCGGGAGTCGTTGATCTGCTTCACTTTTATGCTTCGAGTCTCATAAGCGAGGAAGAGGCCGAAGACGAGCACGAGCCCTTTGTAACCGTACATCAGCCCGAGCCAAACGTTATTGTTGGCGCTTTCGCAGTGTTCCAGCTCCGGTCTGATCTTGATGTCGTCGTCCATCGAGGCTGGAAGCTCGAGGGGGAATATCTCTATTGTCCTTTGAAGTGGGTCGTACAGCTGCCAGAAGAATAGAATGAAGAAATCGACGGCGAGAAGACCGGCCACCATCGTGTATAGCTTCCAAGGTTGGACCTTTTTCTACAGAGGAAAATGTCGATTAAAACAATCAAAATTAAATGTCAAAGGACGATTACATTTTTACAACATATCATGGTACATTTATTGAAATTACTAAGAAGATAAAAAAAATAAAAATATGAAGTCGGTAATCTCAACTAATAGAATTTAAGAATTCGTATGTCAAACCGTTCTGTATCTATACGCCAGACTAAAAGTAAAAAACTGAGCCTTGGTACAATTCAGCTTACTAGGTTTATGATGACATCGACCATTCGAGCCGTTTAAATCATGTGGTATATTGAAACCATCGTGGGTTATATAACTGAACCATGAAGACCTCTAAATATTTAGGCTAGAATCTTAAAAGTCGTAAATGGGCTAACTAACATCAGTCCCTTCAACTAAAAATTGTTGATTGTGCTTATCCTAGCCATATTGTATATCAATAGACGGGGGAAATAGCGTTTGTCAAATCGTGTTCCTATATACTGTTCAGAACATGCAGTATATCCAGACAATGGTGCACCCAAGAACTGAACCATGAAGGATTCCTAATTTTTAGGCTGATAGTTAAAGTTTATTCAGTTCAGTTCTAGCCAAATGGTGACATATATTCTGAATTATATTGTACATTAAGAAAAGTGTAGGACCGAAAAGTAAACCGTGAGTAACTCCAGATTTTTCGGTAAGAAGGCTAACGGTTGTAAATAGGATGACATCAGGCCTAGTACACTAAGATAGTAGATCGCTAATGTAATGACTGTGGAAAACATCTGAAATAGATACCAGAGATGCGTAAAACCCGAATACTTCATATTGGATTGTATATTAATATAAGTGTAGGACTAACAATCAAACCATGAGGAAGTACAGATTAGTAGTTAAAGATCTATATAAAATATGCAAGCACTATTGCGATAATATTATATAATATTATTAACATATATAATTATTAATACGGCAAATAGTGTTCTATATGTAGAATAGTGTAGGACTGAAAACTAAACCACGAAGAACTCCAGCGTTTTAAGTTAGAAGCTTACAAATTGTAAATAGACATGGTGACGTCTGCCATAGCCAAATGTTGTTAGAAGATAATGTGAAAATTAGACTGTCCATCAATAATAGTATAGGACTGATAATAGATCCCTGAAGAAATCCAGTTTTTTTAAAGAAGCTTAAAGGTTGTAAATACATATGCCGACATTTGCCTGTCAAAGTTCACTGTCTAAATTATGTTGTTACGTTAAGAATAATGTAGGTCTAAAAACTTTACCATGAAGAACTCCAGCTTTTTAGATTAGAAGATTAACTAACCCTGATAATCTTCCAATTTTAAAATTTAAACTTAAGGTTTAATATTATAATTTTATTAGTTGTCCACAAAGTGGTACTGGAGTACAAAATTATTAAAGAAGTTAAGTTTGGGCAGGTTTGTTCGTTTGGGGAGTTTTTAATGGGGTTGCTATTGTCTTTTCAACAATAAGAACTGTCATAACAATTATAGCACCTGATTCGTACTTACCACTGTCTCGGACTTGGCTTTCGTCGTGAGCCTGTGCACCCGCCAAACTTTGCTGAACATCGCGCCATAACCGAGGGTGAAGCCGATGGACAGAAGCCACACTCTGGCCTGGCAGATTATAGGGTAAACTTCGGGTGAGACAAACTGGCCGTCGAGCCCTAGTAGGTAAACGCTCGACAGACAGATGATGACGCCGACTAACATGATTGTGTTGCAGACTGGATGCGATGACATAATGACTCTGAAAAAAAAGTTCGTATTACAACAGTTTTTCCGTAGTTTTTTGATCCAATTACCTTCTATATCTATAAACAACGTTGAAAGAGATCAAAATGATCGCACCGACTATACCAATACTTGACACGGTCCACATGCAAATAAGCAAAGGAAGGGATAATGTCCTCAAAACTGTTCTCACTATGGTCCTATCCTGAGGTATTTTTCCACCTGTAAATTGTTGATTGTTGAAAACACGTGTGACATTAATTTTTTATGAACGTACCGCTCCATCTTTCTTTATTGAACCATGTCAAATTATCAGCCTGCGTATCGTAATACCCGAGTTTGACATAATTTCCATCTATGACTTGTTCTATCTGCGTCAAGGCGATCCTGTCGCCCTGAGAGCTGAATGCGACAACCCCCTGAAACAAATTCTTTATATCCTCCCTTCACCTTTATTTTAAATTACTTACCGAAACGCCTAAAAACTGCGTGGAATTGATTGCCGAGTATATTTCGTCCGCTATCTCCTTATCCGTGTATGTAAAGTTTTTTAGCGTTTTCCCGTGCCTGTGAAGTCTCTCCATCGTCTTGTTGAAAGCTGGTGAGCCCATTTGTGAGATATTGTTCAAAGAGAATTTTTAACTTTTAAGATTTACCTAAGGCGACTGACCAGACGGCGTCGTAGGCAAGAGGAGCTTCCTGGTATCCCTCAGGATACCTCATGTTATCAATGTCATAATTGGCACTTTTTAACACAGCGTTCAGCCTGACTCTGAATTCTTCCGTCGTCTACACATGTAAAAAAACACAAATAAAATCATATATCAGAGTTGCACTCAATTTTGTGACATCCAAGTCATACCAAAGTCTATTTTTTATATTTGCACAAACTTTAAGACTTGGCAAATCAAATACCGACTTACCATCCCTGATATGGTCTTCTGCTTATTCTGATTCCACATCAAGGCTTCAGTTGTAATATGACCTTCAGCTGCGGTTCTCATCTGTTCCTTGGTACAAGTGATGCCTTCTTTTTCAAGATTGACCTCGAACCAATTATCTTCGTACCAGCCTAGTATTTAAAATATCTTTTATTAAAGATTATTGTTTACTGGGGACGCATTAAAAAAGAAATATAGGTCAAATTTTGTCATACCGATGAAAAACCAAACGTAGGATTTTCCGTAAAGTTCTTGATGGTACATTTCGCACAGTACTTTCCTTGCGGCGACGACGTAGAAAAGTCCGACGATTATGCGTGCGTCCTGTCTCCGTAGATTCCTGACGGCGTCGCTCGGATCGCTCAAAAAGCTCTGCCTCGTTACGATTTCGATCCCTTTTTCCTTACATCTCGCTTCCAGGTCTTCGACCGTCTTCAAAATGAAAAATATAAAAGCTATATTTCGGCTAGAAAGTCCTTGAAGCACTTACGGAAATGAAGACTTCTTCCGCTTGCTGGAGGATAGCGACGCGCGACCAGCCGAACTTCTCCATCAGCTTTATCCTCGTCGGATTATGAACCGTAGCTGAAGGATGTGTCCTGAACAGAGTCGGAAAACGGTCTCGGTCCGATAGCGCAGGCGAACTCGCACCGTAACACAACTAAACAAGTGTTTCTTTAAAAGATCTGTTTTTATATTTATCAAAATCAACCTACGACGACAAGATTCCACATCTTGGCAGCTTCTGCGACAGTCGTGCAGACCGTGCTGCACCCGGCGAGTAGCATCAGCTTCTGCGGCTTGTTGTAAAGGAGGTTGTACATCACTGAAGCGCCAAGGCCCGGTTCGCACTTTCAACTAATAAATTAAAAAAATGATCTAAAAACAAGAACAATAAACAAAATACCTCGCTGTCATTCCAGTGCAGTTTCAAAGTGAAGCCTCTCAGCAGATCGTTGTTTTTATTTACATCTTCTAAAGCTAGGTTTGCTGCCGGCTCACAAGCCTAGAACAATTCATGATGAACAGCCGACATTTGTCTACAATATACTTTATTTTAAATATAACTTACCTGCCCTCCCTGCCAGCCACCCTTTCCGGCGATTGGGAAGATCCCACCGATGTGAAGCACGTTGGCGTCATCATCGATGATCACTCCTATACAGTGGCTTACGACCAGAAGAAGCGCCGTACATTTCTGAATACTCTAGAATTATAATTTATAACGTGATACAAAATTCTTTTCACCTTTTCAAGAAATTAAACAAGAATCCATGAAACAAAGCCTAAAAGATACTCAGAACCGATAAGAACTGGTGTCAGCGCAAAAACTGATTTAAAAAAATGTTTCAACCAGGAATGATATTAAATCTTCAAATACTACATATTTTGTTTTGTACAGGAAACGTCTGAATGCTGTGCAAAGTTTGTTCTTCGGTTGGCCTGATTTGAACAGTTTGTATAATCAAAGCTCAACCGACACAAAGTTAATAAAAAATTAAAATAACACGTCAATAATTACATTTTGCGATGATAAAATAGGATTTCAGGAGTAAGCAGAACGAAATAAACAACATAGGACATCTCATAATTAAGTATTTGCCAAACCCTGTTCTTCGTTAATAACCTGCAAAGTTTTATAGTTGTTGGGATCATTTCCTACCTTCTAGAGAAGAAAAAGTAACCGTTTAGTGCGTTCCTAGATATTTCAGGATTTTTTTGGTGCTTCCTGTCCAATGCTTACTACTTTATCCTGATATCCTATTTAACTGATCGCTGGTTTAGAGTAAGGTGCGGCAATTAGTCTGATGCCAGGCCAATCCGAAGTCCCAATAGGGGACATTCTTGGTCCCAGCCTGTTTACCATTTTACTTTCCTATACGATTGGGAATACATATGGAGGGCTGCAAGAGAATGCAAATCGATAAAAAGATTTTTTCCAACGATTGTATCGAGGAAAGCACATTCCGTACTCCTATAAGCTGCCCATGTATTGAGCATCACGATAAAAACAAGGAATATCTCTACAGGCTTAAACTGGAGGATAATTAATTATGCAACTGCACGACAAGAGAACAAACTTAGGAGCTCGTCATACTGCACAGTGAACTGTATGAATCTTCGAGAAAACAGCTCGTGATATCAATAATAACTCATGGAGAAAGCTGGCTTACAAAAATTCAGGAAATATTTAAAAAGCACAATAAAGAATTTAATAAATTTATTAATAATATAAACTTTGAAAAAAATCAATGGGTTAAGCAAAAATAATAATAAAATAAATAGATATATTGTAATAACAATTGCCACCTAAATGACCAAAGTGAAGTGAAAAAAATTGTAAAATATTATAATTTAAAAAACATATTGTACTATTTATAATTGTAAAAGCCTGTGTAATCTTAACGGGTACAAGCTGAAAAAAGCCCTATTAGGACGATCTAGCCTGGATCTGAAAAGCACTTGTAAAATTTTTTTATTGCTTTAAAATTTACATGAATTATCGTTCCAGAAATTCAACATTGTAGTGTTTCTAAAAATCGTACTGAAAAAGTAGAAATAAATAGGAGAATTAAGCCATTGTACTTTAAGCATATTTACAAATTTCAAAATTGCCTATATATAGAGCCACGGTTTTTTTCTTTCCTCAATCAATTTCTTAATCTTTGAAAAAAGTAATTACACCACTAAAAAGGTTATTAAATGGAGTACGTTTTCTGAAATTTGTTATTGGTTGTTCTTATCCTAGTCATATTGTATATCAATAGACGTAGGAAATAGAATTTGCCAAATCATGTTTCCATATACTGTTCAGAACATGCAGTATATCCAAACAATGGTGTACCCAAGAACTTGAACCATGAAGGATTCAAGATTTTTAGTCTGAAAGTTTGAAAGTTTTTTTTGCTGTTAAAGGTTATTCAGTTCAGTTCTAGCCAAACGATGATATATATTCTGAATTGTATTGTATATTAAGAAAAGTGTAGAACCAAAAAGTAAGCCGTGAGTAACTCCAGACTTTTCGGTAAGAAGGCTAACGGTTGTAAATAGCTATGATGATATCAGGCCAGCTACACTAAGATTGTATATCGCTAAAAAAATTGTAGAGTATTATAATTGAAAAAATATATTGTACTATTTATAATTGTAAAAGCCTGTAATCTTAACGGGAGCAAGCTGAAAAAAAGCGCTATCTAGCCTGGATCTGAAAAGAACTTGTAAAATTTTTTATTGCTTTAAAATTTACATGAATTATCGTTCCAGAAATTCAACATTGTAGTTTCTAAAAATCATACTGAAAAAGTAGAAATAAATAGGAGAATTAAGCCATTGTACCTATACTTTAAGCATATTTACCAATTTCAAAATTGCCTGTATATAGAACCACGGTTTTTTCCTTTCCTCAATCAATTTCTTAATCTTTGAAAAAAGTAATTACACCACTAAAAAGGATATTAAATGGAGTACGTTTTCTGAAATTTGCTGGCCTCCAGGTTTGAAAATAGTAGTTTAGAATCACCATAGTATGTTTTTCAACATAATTTTTTTTTTTTCAAAATTCTCTCTATTAAAACAATTATTTCGCAAAGTTTACAGGTTTAGTAATGGCCACATCTTATTGGAAATTTAACGTAGTTTTCAATAGTATCAACAGATGTGTCCAAAACCTTTTAGTTTTGAAGTTATCGTTGTTTATTGGAAGCAAGATCGTGAAATCTTAAAAAATCTGAAAAAGTGGAATAACTCCGAAACTGCTGAGATTCGGACCATAGTTAATTAGGACTTTTTGGTTCCATTTTGAATGAACAATCTACGGGCAAAGTTTGTAACACGTGTAGCCGAACACCCTGAATATAGTCAATATTATAACATGGTATGTACTATAAAAAATGGAAGATTAGATAAATACATAGGTTAAATTCGTTAAATATATATTCGTATAGCAGATATTTTTAAAATTTATAATCTTGATAAATATTTTGACTAAATGCACACGATGACTAAAGTAGAATGTACAGTAAGAGATAAGCAGGAGAATACAAGGCCAATTTGTAGTCACCGGCCACAATTTGTATCATAAGTTTTTTCCATTTAAATTAAACTTTAGTAAAAACAATAAATATTCATAGGTTAATTATCACTTTAGCATTATATTTTAAATTTTCTATGGAAATTTGTAAGTGGTTTTAGCAAAATTCCTTGCAGTTGTTACTTTTGTTTGGATTTTTATTAAAACTTTTCCGTTAGTAGGCAGCAAAACAACACTTTTTCAAAGTCGATAAACCTAAAAATAAGGTTTGCAACTTGGATCCATGACCTGGACGCCGGCTGGTTGTTACCATCTGAATAATTGACATCGGCGAAAATCTTTAATCAAAAATAGAACCTGACAAGGTTTTTTTATATTGTAATTGCAGCCGGTTTGAACTTAAAAAAAAAAAAAAAATTATAATGGTGATTTTTGTATAGTTCTGTGAATGTCAAATATATTCAAAATGGATCATAAGGTGTTTGAAATAAGGAGAAATTATTGAAAGCGCAGATCGTTAAACACTTCCAATAGTTAAGAATCGACTATTTCTAATATATGATAGGGAGGAAAACATAGTTGAGTACCTGGAAGATAATCATTTCGGCGACTATTGATCAAACGGGACGGCACTGCGCAAGGCAGGCCAGCCTTTTTTCCCCTTGAGCTTAGGGTACGCCTGAAAAACCGGAAATCACGATTTTCTTTCTTTTTCTTCGTTGAAATATGGACGACTTCTAGTTTTCTATTTCACCGGTGGTCGAGACCGAGATAAGTCCTGGCCCGGGAGCCGGGCTGCACTGGGGGGATCAATCCACGTCGACGGCAGCCGAATCAATGTTTGTACGCAAGTCTTGGACGAAAGAGGGCAGACTGGACTGTTGTCCTATCAAATTGACGATGAATGAAAATATAAAACCCACTCGCGCTCTGCACTACCTAAATATCAACTTGACGAGAAAAATCTGTAAATCATCATACTAAATCACATACAATTAATTAAGGTTTTTACTTGAGATAAAAAAGTCAGTGTCACGGGCGGGATTCGAACGCACGACCTTCGGCCGTGTTTTTTTCGCCGAGAAATAAATAGATTAAATGACATTTGAAAAATAGCAAAAAGTAGGGAAAATTCAAAAGGTGGGGTTGAGATGGGAAGTGGATCGAAATCACGATAGCTCAAGTGGTAGAGCAGTGGCGTATCAAGCCGAAGGTCGTGGGTTCGAATCCCGCTCGTGACTTTTTTAGCTCAACTAAAAACTTCAATTAATTGAATGATATTAATTGGTCAAGCGGACCACGAAAAACAGTGAACTAAATCACATATTTTAAAAAATCTGACAGGAATTATTTCATTGAGAAAAAGCTTTTAACTTGAAAGTCATCTTCCCTTCTATTTCTAAGATGTATATTATTTAATACTATTACTATTATAAAAGAATTTCATGTGTTACTAGACAATTGAAAACTTAAATAAAGATGTTTTGTAATTTGTCCTATGAGTTTATATGTGTTGTAAAGCATTATATAATTGGAACTGCATGTGCTTTTCTTAATTATTTTATATGTAACCTATACATGTGATATAGCATGTCTCTTCTTCTTTTTTCTTGGGCCCAACCCTGAATTCGGAAAACCGAAAACAAGGTCCCAGAGGTTTTTTACGATCAAACCTGACAACAATTATTTCATTTATCGATCAGGCACCTTTTATATTTCATTTAAACCAAAGTAAATACGACACCAAATGTTTGTTAAATTTGAATCTTTAATTACAATTTATTTTCACATAAAATGACAATATATTTTATTAATTATTATTTTTAATTTAAAGAATCCTTTTATCCTATAACAAATCTATCTCAAATCTACAAACCTTAATTTTAAAATGGAATTTGATTCTCGTTTTATAGTTCCATAAAGAAAGGTAAATTATTATTATTATTATTAAAACTTTGACCACCAAATTAAAAAATACAAGTAAAATATTAACACAACTTTTAAAATGAAATATTATTTTTTTTATTTTTCTTTATAAAAATATATACCCTTTAAAAACTAAATTACAATTATTATTTTTTTATTTTGACGTCAAAGTAATAAAAATTAACTCACTTGAACAGTGTGCACACCAAATTTTTCTTTTTACCAAAAATAGCTGTTTACCCACATAAGCCAGAAAGGGATCTGTTCTAGGACTTAAAAAAAATAGCCCTTTCTTGGCCCCTACTCCTTTCACTGTTAGAGTGTGTGGAGGGGCATGGCGGTTCATTTAAATCTGAATGTGACATACATATTAGGAAATAGCACAAATGTGATCATAAACTTTTTTTTCACACGGTCCCAGCACGAACACTGACTAGCGCTGCACCCAGAGCACCCAACCTTGAGAAACCGGCCATTGGCAACACTCAGTGAGATGAATTAACGAGCAAGGATGTTTCGAGGTTATAACGATTAAGGCGACATCGCGACTCGCTGGTTCTCTGGTTGGGGGTTGTGTAGAGAGGGCTCAAGTAGTAGGGTTAGGAAGGAAATTCTTCCCGACCGTAAAATCCTGTTACCATAAACCACCATGGTATTGTCACGTCATGGAAAGCATCGGTCATATCTCACCCAATTTGCCATAATTGATGATGCGACATGCCCATGTAATGGAGTACACAAACATGAAAACACATTCTATTCAGTTGCTGGATGTTCGACCTAGAAAGGAGATGCATCATTAAAGCTATACTGTTGAGAGGCGATAATGGCGACGACAGGAAAACAGCTTACTGCAAAACTGTAGCTGGAATTATTCAAATTTATAAACTCAATTGACATTAACAAACTATGAAGTGATAACGAAGTGCAATAAATTTAAAGATATTAAGATTGCTAATTACCAAAAATCTTTATAATGTAATGTATTGATTGTTAAATACCTGAAATCACTAAGGGAGCAGGCAGAATAAACTCCCTGGCCACAGGGTGTACTGTGGCCAGGGGAAAAAGTAGGGTTGCGATGGATCGAGAGGTTGGTGACGAGGGCACGGGAACGGATCAGTTCTTTGACAAAAAATGCTTTGGATAGTGAAGTTAAGGTGCAGTAAGGAGCTTTGACGATTTCTCTGAGGGCTTTTGATTGGAAGAATTAGATGCGCTGGATATTGGACCAGCAGTTCGGCTCCTATGTCCAAAAGTGATCGCAGTCAAGTCTTTCATAAAATTAGTTTAGTGTTCACGGTCTGCAAGTTCTTAGTTCCAAATCTTCAGTTATGTTGTTGTCTCTTAGGTCTGGTGTGGGGATGCTATCTAAGTATAGTCCTAGGTTGTGAGATTTCATCCTGTCATCTGTGGGGTGGTATATTGTTTGTTAGCTACCTTTCATCCTGGACTGCTTATCCTAGCTGATTTGTGTTAATTCTGAGGCGTTTCAGCGTTTCGCCATATTTTGTGTTGGGGTGATATCATAATTAACAAAAATCAGCCAGGAAGGCAGACCAGGATGATAGGTTCTAACAATGGTTCTAAGTGTTTGACTTGAATGGACATAGCTAACTATTTGTTGTTGATGTACAGCAGGCAAGACTGCTTTTTCAATGTGGACGTACACAGAGTATATTTTTCTTCAGTCTTGTCCTCCACTTTTTTTGCACCAGTTCGATAAGCTCAAGGTATTCTTGGATGTAGGACGTTATATGGATAGGATTCGAGTTAGAGGACAAAATTACCGTATCGACATAAACGGTGATGATGGTATTGGAGTGTGCAGGTATGTAAATGATATAAAGCACCGGATAAAAAATTATAATTGAATTTGGGTCTAAAAGAATATGCAACTTTAATTTTTTTTAACACTCGTTGTATCACAGCTGATTGTAAAACATAAAAACCTACTCGTACTGAAATTAAGTGAAATTTGTTTCTGGAGAATATTTTATGAATATGAACAATTTTATGGATTTTGATAGAATGTTCTGCTTTTAATAATATTAAATGTATTTAAAAAAACAGAGGGTAAAAAATGTATTGGTAAAATAAAAATTTCAAATTTTATGGATTTAATTTATTGGAAGAAGTGCAGTTTTCTCTACGTTATATGCGTGAGTGGCGTTTTTCTTTGGGAGTTGGGCAAGTTCATTTAACGATGTGTGATTCCAGAGCTGCAGACGGCGATTTACCAGACGGAATTCCACCACAGGGAGCTGCAAGCGGAGTACGACTTCTGCAAGAGGTCATTCGAACGCCTCGCGGATTTCGACTGGGCCTACACAGGGACAGGGGGCCGTGTGCACAGCCACATTTCCAAGGCGTTGTCCGCCTTCTGGAGGAAAATCGATAAGAAGACGAGGGCGTACACTAATGTCCTAGACCTCCTGGAAAAGAAGGCCGAGCTGGAAACCACCATAAAGGATTTGTGTGAGCGTTAACCCCCTAAAGTATTTTTCCTCATTTGGCAAAACAAATACACTAATAATGCACACGCAAACACAAATTCGTCATTGGTAATTGCATATTTTTCATGTACAGATAGACGTACAAGCCTTTCCTTACACCTTTCCACTGTGGGTGTAGGTCCGTTTTTATAATACAAATAAACTCAGAGCCAAGGTAAAAAAAAATTTTTATGGTACAGAGCAAAACAAACAACATAACATCCCAACATATACCTAGTAGGAAACAAACCAAATCCCACTAACAAAACGTACAAAACATAAATTATTATTGGTTTACAAACAAACACACAAAAAAAAAACACCAGCAAACAAATACAAATGACAAAACATGGCAATACGAACCAATAAAAACAGAGAAATGAAACGTGCAAACCACATAAAATACATACGAACAAACATACTAAAACCTACAAACAAATAAGGAAATAAAACGAAAAACACAAACAATACCTATAAATTCACTAATTTCGTGGTCCGCTTGACCAATTAATATATTACAATTAATTAAGGTTTTAGTTGAGATAAAAAAGTCAATGGCACGAGCGGGATTCGAACCCACGATCTTCGGCTTGATACACCGCTGCTCTACCACTTGAGCTATCGTGACTTCGATCCACTCGGACATCAACTTCCCATCTCAACCCCACCTTTTGAATTTTTCTCTCATTTTTACCATTTTTCAAATGTCGTGTAATAGGATTGGATTCTCGACAACAAATGAAATGGCCACGGAGAGCTGAAGTGAAATATACTTCATTTTAATTCATTAAATTCACTAATTTCATGGTCCGCTTGACCAATTAATATATTACAATTAGTTAAGATTTTTAGTTGAGATAAAGGCCATTTCATTTGTCGCCGAGAATCCAATCCGATTACACGACATTTGAAAAATGGCAAAAAGGAGGGAAAATTCAAAAGGTGGGGTTGAGTTGGGAAGTTGGTGTCCGAGTGGATCGAGGTCACGATAGCACAAGTGGTAGAGTAGCGGCGTATCTAGCCGAAGATCGTGGGTACGAATCCCGCTCGTGCCATTGACTTTTTATCTCAACTAAAAACCTTAATTAATTGTAATATCTATAAAGTACAAAATAAATACAAAACAAAAATATGATAATGCAAATGAAAATATATAAAAAAATAAACATAGAAACGAATATATACCAACAAATACACTTAAAAATAAAGAGACTGAGAGAGAAAGATAGATAGATAGATAGATAGATAGATAGAGAGAGAGAGAAAGAGAGAGAGAGAGAGAGAGAGAGAGAGAGAGAGAGAGAGAGAGAGAGAGAGAAGTAGGGGAGGGGAGAGTCAATGAGTGAGAGATAGTGAGAGAGATTTGGAGATTTGGAGTGTACATAGAAGTAGATATTGTGGGTGAATTTCACGTAAAACGATATTCTTTGGTCAAAAGGGGAAAAAAATCTATATTTTGATATTTGATTTTTTTTCTAAATATATAGCATATCAATAATATTTCCCTTGCAGGGAAATCGCACTTAAATTCGAGATCAAGAGTAAGCGATGAAGGAATACAATGCGTCTCCGGTTTCAAAGAACGTAATTAATGACGTTTATTTTTATATTGAAATACAATTTGGTTGTTCATTGAACGAATCTGAATTTCAGATGCACAGATGAGGCTCTTTATCAACACCCTTAAATTAAAATGGACCCGTTACAACGCCATGAAGTATAAATTCGCCTTGGAACACGTCCAGGAAATGAACGATAAGTTAAGGGACATCAAATACAAAACGAAGAAAAAAAGCATATTCAGTATCAAAGGTTCTGGGAAGATTAGAAAACTCCAAAACGACATAAGCTGGTACAAGAAAAACGAAAAGTCCCTGTCGAAAGACGTTGAAAAACTGGGTAAGACTTTACAAGGCATCGCTTTTTTTTTTCTTTTTTAATATGTGAATTTTGTAGAGGATGCGCTTAAAGTTTTGGCGTACAAGCTGGACATCGGAAAGCAGAAATGGCTTTACAAAGCGCTCCAGCAAGCTTCTAAAGAGTGCGGACTGAAGAGTCTTCCAGTCGATTTTGGAGATGGAGTCGACAAAACCTGCAAGGGGCCAGTCAGCCTGCCGAGCTTTTTCTCCGGGCTTAGAGCAAAGTGGGCAATGTAAAAGTTAGAATAAAGTTTTTATGTATTTTATTTTGTAAAATTTAGATTGCTACATGCTGTCCATGTCAGACGGCTGCCACGCTAATATTGTATTCATATTGGCGATCTCCCGTGTGCTCCAGGGCTCCAGGGGATCCGGAGGCGATTCCGGTTTCTTTTCGACACTGCCTAAAACAGCCGAGCTGCCAGGGCGAAGCGGCATTTCCGGCGCTGGGGCGACCCTAACAATAACGCAAAATTAAAAAATGTCCTCTCAGATTTGGATTTTTAGAATTATGTACCTGTTTGGTTTCGCCGTTTTGGGACGTTTTGTCGATTTCCTCTTGAGGAGAGGTGGCGCAGACGGGAGCGACGTGTAAGGCGGAGGTGGGTCTTCGAAGGACGACGCGCTCGTGTCACCGTTTCTGTATATCCAACCGATCATCGTATCGGATCCGCCGTTTTCAGCCCTCTGCCGCTGCTGGGCCGACTTTACTTTCCTCGCCCTCGAACCGTGGCCAAGAGGTGGTTCTTCTAAATAAAAAATAAGGGCCGTATCTCAGAAACAGCATGCAGGAGTATCATTGATTAAGCATCCTTCACAAGAGTCTTATAAGCAACTATGGACAAGCAATGATAGACGGACCCAATTTATACTACAAATACGTACCCGCAAGTACGTCACTGTCGCTAGCCAATAGCGCTGCTGACTGTTCCATGCTAAACTGTTTAGCCATCTTTTGTTTTTCTAAGCTGTCCTTATCCCTCAGACTTTCCTTACCCTGTTAAATTTTCAATAATATTTTACTAAATTCACCACTACAAAACCCCTAACACGTTACCTCGCAAACCGAAAGGACGGCTGCTTCTGCCAAAGTCATGAGATCGTCCTCCGTAGCGCCGATTTCTTCTGTCAGGATGAGGTCTCTGAAAGGATCACTCACAATGATTTCTCTTGAGCCTAAAAAATACCTGATTAAAATATTTGAAATAACCTTTACAGAAAATCTCTAAATTAAACTTTTGGATGTTAAGGAACTTTGTACCGACACAGGCAAGAAAATCAAGCTTTAAGATCGTCCTGTATAGACAATTTTTGTTATTTTAAATCGTTTCTCCCATGAGGGCTTTATAGCAAATCCAAAAGTTTTTACTTGAACTGTTCGCTCCTGCGGATGCCGTCAGGTCTAGGTCATGGGTGAAAGCCATAACGTCCAAAGCCGCCGTGAGACCGCCGAAAGCGACCGGGGCCTGGTCGTTAGCTTGATCCGGGTTGGCGCTGTCCATTAACACATCCACGGCAGCACTTTAAATAAATAAAACATGTTTTTATTTTATTTTGAAGATTTCTATTAAGGGCGTACTTGGGAGGTAGTTTGATCGGGGTGGATATGGACGCCCTGTCCCACATAATCCTCCTGAGCTGTTCGCCGGTCATCCCTCTTTTCCTGAGTTCATTGATTGTTACTTTTCCTACACGCTGAAATAAACAAGGTACAATTTATTTATACGGTTTGCAATAATAACTTTGCTTATATTACACACACACATTTTCATCATTCTCACATGCTTTCTATTGTTCACCTTTAATTTTTTTCTCTCTCGTTTGTTCTTTCTTCGTTCTACCCAGCGTCAGTCCTTATTTATAGAATCTCTCTCTAACTTTCTCTCCCTCTTATTTTTTCACTCTCTAGTTGTTTTACTTCTGTTTTGTCCCCTCTCACCCTTCTCTTAACCTTTCTCCATTTTAATGTTCTTCCTCTTTCACTCCGACTATTTAATTAATTCATGCCAAGCCTCGTTCATTCACTCACCCTCTGTCTGTCTGTCTGTCTGTCTCTCTCTCTCTCTCTCTCTCTCTCTCTCTCTCTCTCTCTCTCTCTCTCNTTTATTCAGAAATCGTGAGATGCGGTCTGGTGTGATGTAGGTTTCAGAAAAATATTTTGTTTATCGTGCCAACGTTTCGATCTTTATTGAGATCATCTTCAGGGCTCAAAGTATTTGTTTTTGCGTAATTGTGCTATTCTTGCGTGTCGTATTAAGAGTGCCCTTAACACGACACGCAAGAATGGCACACTTACGCAGAAACCAAACACTTGGAGCCCTGAAGATGATCTCAATAAAGATCGAAACGTTGGAACGATAAAGATAATGTTTTTCTGAAACCTACATCACACCTGACCGCATCTCACGATTTCTGAATAATCATCGACTAGATGTAGATGTAATTTCAGGGTATAGTATACTGCGCCCTTTAAGAACTATTGTATCCTGCCTAAAGCACATCGGTGAGTCCTATTTCACAAGAAACTTGATTAATAGGCCCGGTTTCAATGGTTAAAGCTCTTCTATGGTCACATTGTACCTCCCAAAACATTTCCTCCGGGCTAGTGTAGCTCCGTAGTTTGTTAGTAAATGTGGGTGTCTTTTCTGCCTCCTTGCAGAATCTACATGTGCCATCTTGGATTGTTCCAATTTTCTTTAAGTGTCCTATTAGGAATCCTGTTAGGATTCGCTGTCTGTTCCTGCTTCCTTTGACACATTCTGTGATTTCTTTCCTACCAAAATTGGTTAGAAGATTCTTGAATTGTCTATGTCCAATGTGTGAATTCCAAAATTCCTTCATTTTCTTTTTGTTCTTCTGTCTGAGATATTCGTTAATAGTGTGGATTCCTATGCTACAGAAGGATTCAGGTCCTATCAGCGGTGTAGCAGCCCCTTTCCTTGCAAGAGTGTCCGCTTTCTCGTTGTCTTCTACTCCCATGTGTCCTGGGACCCAGCAGAGGCTGACTTTATTCTGCATACCTAATATATTTAGTTTGGTTTTGCAGTTCAGCACCATCCTTGAACTAATGGTATTTGAGCTTAGTGCTTTGATGGCTGCTTGGCTATCTGACATGATAGTTACATTCTTATTTTTGTACCCTTTACGTAGGTGGACGTAACTGGTGTATTTTCCCCTGGGTTCTGAGTATTTGGTTCCAGGTCCAAATACTCCTGCCCCCGTATCTTCATCGACTAACGGTCTCTATTTCTATTCAAGATTTCTCTCATGTCTATATCTAATTATTGTCTCTCTCTCTCCCTCCCTCTCTCTCTCTCTCTCTCTCTCTCTCTCTCTCTCTCTCTCTCCCTCTCTCCCATCGTCGAGACAGAACCTAAATTTGCGAGATTTTTAAATAAAATGATATTCATTGATTTATTCTTTCTCTTTCTTTAAGGGTATAATGTAAGTCGTTCTCTAAGAAATTTCTATAAGCCTTCCTTTTCTTTGATTTTCAAACGCAACCTACTTTCCAGTTTGTGACTGCTCCTTTCCTCTGTTTGGCTCTCGTCTTGCTCTTGCTCTTGATGACCATGACGCCCCTCTGTTCCGTCGCCGGGTCATCACCGGGACCGAGTTTGATGCTGTACTCCTGAAGATAGTGTTTGGCGTCTTCTTGGTTTACAGCCCTTTCCAAAGAGACGACGATTTTCGCCCACTTGAAAACACGATAATTAATGGCTGTTATGCAATTACATATTTCCAGACATGGTTCGAAGAAGTTTGGCATTACTTTTTGGTAATGGATTTTTTTAAAATTTTAATAGGTATTTGCTGTATCGAGCAAAAATATCTGTTGAAATTTGAGACTCTGAAAATTTAATTTACCTGTTTCATCCATTCTTTTTCGCTTTGTTCGATGACGTGCGCGTAGGTATTGCCCATCATCGCGATCAACATGTTTAGCAGAAGAATCGGCACCAAGATCATGAATATAGTGAAAACCGTCTTAGCCAAGGTTGGGTACGTCGTATGAGAAAGTTCAGCGTACTATAAATATGTTTAATTTAAGTTTCATACTTTAAATATTTCTGTCCGATTATTACGTTATAGTCTCCGAGGGTTATCTGAAAAAGAGCCATCCACGTGCTCGGGTACGAGCTGTACAATGTGTTTTTCACGCCGGGAAATCCTTTGTAGAGAAAGAAAAACGACTGAGAAAACCCGAATAGCACAACCATGTAAATAATGCCGAATGTGAACATGTCTCCTGTAATCATGCTGTACACCATCGTGACAAAAGGTCCTGTCAAACGTACCGCCCTGGAATGTATTAAAATGTATTAAATTAAATAAATACGGCTTTTTGTAAGATTTCTTTGTGGATATTCACCCTGCAAAAAACATAAGAAGGAACCAAGAGCCAGGAACGGCGAATATTAAGATAGCCTCTTCGGTATTTTTATCCCCGGATAGTCTGAACGGTATGCAAGCGAGGATCAGAAGGTTGGAAACCAAAAATATTGCTTTAGCCGGATCCTAAAACACTGATTAATTATTAAGTATAGTGGAACCTCCGATAAGGGACTTTTCTCATTAGGGAACACTTTTGGACATCTATATGTGCACCAGCATGGAAGATTCATTTTCTATGTATTTACCACCACTATAGATATGGCACTCTAATTAAATGTCAAGGACAATGTCGTCCTACAGTCCATCGTTTCACAGTCTGTAGGTAAGATTTTAGAGGACACCACGCGAAAGTGGACAAAAGTGACACCAAGACTATCCGTTAGAAGTTTCATCCTACTTCCTAGGGGTAAAATGTTACCTGTTGTTTTAGATAGGACCAGAGCCCTTGGTTTTTGATCTCCCCGCCTTGCTGTACGACCAGGTAGGACAGGACGCCGAGTATGGTTCCGAATTCGAACCCCTGCCGGATATAATCCTGCCAGTCGTTGCCTCCTAAAAGCGGCTTGTTTCGATCAGTCGGCCTCAAGTAAACGGCTCCGCTCAGAAGTACCAGGTGAAGAATCAGAATCAGAAGACGTTTCAGAAACTGCCTCTAAAATATAATTAATAATCTCCTAGTTACTTCCGTTCATGGAAAGTAATGAAAATTTACCCACCCTTGCAAAAGTCTTCCACTTTTCTTCTAAAAGCCTTTGTATGATACCTCCATCTAGCATGTCCAGATGCTCTTCTTTAGTTCCGTTAAGTATTATGAACAGGGCTGAATTCCAGTCTGGAACATGGAATGATTAGAAAGTGTCTTTTACGAATTGATTATTATAAGGCGGACTTGTCCTTCCATCGGGCTGTAACGTGTCCAAAGCGTTGAGCGGATATGCAGAACATGTTATGTTACTGTAGCGCCAAAACTCCCTGGCACTTAACTCCAACATCTCCTTGAATACATCTGCCCTGCCAAGTTTGCAAGCTAGTGTCAAAGGTGTTAGACCAGCGTCGTTTGCTATTCCGTTGCTTGCCGGCATTTTAGGATGTCTCAAAGCATAGCCAAACATATCCTATTACGATTATTTTCATTTTTATGCCAATAGGAAACTTTCCCTGATATAGGTTAAATACCAGTTTATCGCAAACGACGACCATGTGTAAAATCATGTTTCCAAATTTGTCCCTTTTGTCTGGATTGGCGTTGCTGTCCAGTAAAAGATTGTAGACGCTCTCGTTCGCGCAGCAAGCAGCCCACGCCAAGGGGTATTCTCCAAGGTAAGCAAGTCCTTCGTAGTCGGTGTTCTTCTTCGGCCTAGGGCCTTGCTGGTCTCTTGGAAGGAAGAAACTTCCTGGGAAAAACGTCCGATTTATTGCTGTTAGACGACAGGGAAACCTACTTACCAATGGCCCTCTGTTCCACGTTGGCCCCTGCTTCTACCAAATCCTGAACAAGTTCGTTATTGAAGTAGGCTATGGCTAGATGAAGGGCACTTGCACCTAGAATTAGTCAATTATTGAGGAATAAATCCCACATATCGCTTTGGCTTAATGAAGAAAGATGTTCTGATTTATACTTGAAAATATCATTTTTGGTCAACATTGACCATTTAGATACACACATGCCAAGGAATAAAACGACATTTTTAAAGTTTAGTTAGAAAACTGATTTGGTTTCCTATCTTTTCATCTTTTTTTGACAAATTAAACGATTTTCCATATTGATTTTAGATGGATTGGAAATGGAATATATTTCTGTGAATATTGACCTATATAGTTAAGGACCACCAATTAACCTATGGGGGTCAATATTGGTTCAATGAATATTTACTATCTATGAATATTTGCCATAAAGTACAGTGCTGATTACAGTTTTTCACATTGAAATTTTAAGAAATTTTAAGTCATGCTCGTTGCATACCAAGATATTCTTCGCCTTCCACAACGTCGATCGCCAAGTTGGGAAAGCATTTAAGCAAAGTCCTCGCCAGTCTCGTGTGGATCTTGGTGTCGCAGATTATAAGGACGTGGAGCAAAGTTTCACCCAGGGAGCCTCTGTACTGCATCTGCCAGCAAGCCTGGTGGTCCTCCCATTTCGAAAGGGGGTCCTGGGTGCTGAGAGACGCTTCTATCGGTATCTGAACCTGATGAAATTCGAAGTGGGACTTATTAAATGTCTAAACTGTATAATATTTGAAATTACGGAGATTTGTAATCGGTGTAACGTGCCGGTCAATTTTATAATACATTGAAATACAGTGAGAATAGGGATGTACCGAAGTTTGTGCGTAGAAGGACGTTGTTTACGCCTGAATTTAAATTTTATTTTTGTTTTAATTTAAGTTGAGTTTGTTTGGTCACGTTGCCACGGGGAACGAATGTTTACGCCTCCCGTTGCTATGGGAACCAAATGTTATGCTTTCGGTTGCCATGAGCACCATTGTTTACACGTCGCCGTTGCTACGGTGAATTGTTTTGTATTTTTCATTACCATGGAAACGCCCCTTCTTTTTTTTTTTGTCAAGTCCAATCAACTGGACCAGTCGCTTCTCAACCGCCAAGAAAACAGCATACGCTCTGTTTCTTAAATTTAGATGTTTCAGGCAGTAATTTTGTATGTTATTTTGTATTGTGAATTCGATAGTTCAACGTTCTGTTCTGTCAACAATACGGGCGTTATTATTATTATTCGTCCGCCGCAATACAATCAGTTGTGATCTACGTCTTGATTCACCACGACCGCACGCCTGACATCTCCCCGCACCGCAGCATAAGTGGACCCGACTTCATCAGTATTTCCCGCACAACCGCAGCGCCACATCACATCTATACATCAAGCGTACTCACAAGTGAACTTTTAGTTTAATCTAAATATATATATATTTTTTTTGTATCTTCATTCTAACCTAGTTTTTTCTTTCTTTTCTAAATTCATTGAAGAGCTCTTCCGTTATTTCTCTGTTTAATTAATTTTTTAATTTAAAACTAATACTATAATTTTATTTGATAATATTATTATTTGGGGTACTATACGATTTGAAATTGTTAATTGTTAATTATGATCGTAATGTTACAAGTCGGACAAGTACCTGCTTCACATCGCGGAATTTCCATCTGAGATACTCGGCCCGGTTTATAACCGTGCCTTTTCCGTCGTTGTACATGAGGACGCCGAATTGTTCCTTTATGAGCTTTTCCACTTCGGCCTGTCCTCCCGTGTTGTAAGCGTCGACGAGCTCTCCTCCTTTCTTGTAGTTGGCCAGCCTGTAGAGGAGGCACTCGTCTTTGTTCGACGCCTGGGAGATGACCCGGTCCAATACCGTCCCGGCGTTGACGGAAGCACCGCTGCACCATGCGGCGCCCATTTTAGACGAGAAAGAACAGAGGCGTGTTGATCAGGGACCGTAAGAACCGGGTCAGTAGGGTTGATGGTACAGGATGGTACGCGCATCGATCAACCCCCATACATTCCCTCATGTGGTTACGTGATTAGGTTTACGTGAATCTTAAGAATTGTTTTACATAGTTTTGATAAACTTGCTTGATAAATTCAACTTATTTACAATCAGTTGCATTTCAAAACCAAAATAAATTATGATTATCACGACTAAACTAACAATATCTCATCTTATCCTCCCAAAAATCCCCGTTTGAAAAATAACTTGGAATTGTTTATTGATTCTCAAGAGCAGTATTATTACAAATTTGGTTCTGTTTAAAGCCTCCTTGATTGACTTCAAGCCACTTTTGTTCCCAAAACTATCGTTAACGATATTAGGACGTAAATTATTTCGGTTTTCAACAAATAAGGATTATCTTGATCTTACCATCTTGATATTGTCTTTGAACGTTTATGTCATTCCAACCGTCTAAATGTTCTAAATTTGATTTTAACATAACGTAAAGCTTCTTCCTGTGAGACGTATATTAAAAACGGCTATTTAAAATTTTTGTCTTTTTGCTTGACAATCAGACAATAAGTCAAATATGGTCGTGAGATTAACTGGTTCTTATTTTTTACAAGTAATACCGACTTTAAAGTGCCGTTTATGTCATACCAACCAACGAAATATTCAAAATGTATTGTTGAAATCAGAAGGCTCTTTCAAAAAATTATACAAGGCAAAATTATGAACGTAAAATTTCGTACACCCATTCCAAATCAGTAATAATGGCTTTTAACAGACGTTTAGCTCATGCCTGTCCAAAAAATGACTTGTTTTATATTCTGATCTCAGGAAATGAGGATAACTACCTTAGATAACGAAGTTCATATGAGTACCATATCCAGACCTGTTTGGAATATATGACACATACAATCAAATTGCGTAGCAACAATCATACATAGACTCGAGAAAAGTCATCGCGCATAAAACAATTTTTCTTCTCAAAAGTATCAAGACGATTTAAAAATTTAACTTGACGAGATGAGAATACAGCATTATCCATAGAATTAATTAAAGCTTTTAGTTGAGATGAAAAAAATTAATGGCACGAGAGGGATTCGAACCCACGATCTTCGGCTAGATACGCCGCTGCTCTACCACTTGAGCTATCATGACCTCGATCCATTCGGCCATCAACTTCCTTTCTCAGCCTCACCTTATGAGTTTTCCCTCCTTTTGCCATTTTTCAAATGTCGTGTAATCGGTTTTGATTCTCGACGACAATTGAAATGGTGACGGAGTTAGTGAAGTGTACTTCGTTTTTTAAATCATTAATTCACTACTTTTGCGGTCCGCTTGACCAATTAATACATAACAATTAATTAAGGCTTTTAGTTGAGATGAAAAAAAGTTAATGGCACGAGCGGGATTCGATTCAAAACCGATTACACGACATTTGAAAAATGGCAAAAGGTGAGAAAACTCATAAGGTGGGGTTGAGATAGGAAGTTGATGTCCGAGTGGATCGAGTTCACGATAGCTCAAGTGGTAGAGCAGCGGCGTATCTAGCCGAAGATCGTGGGTTCGAATCCCGCTCGTGCCATTAACCTTTTTTTCATCTCAACTAAAAGCCTTATTATTTGTCATGTATTAATTGGTCAAGCGGACCACAAAAGTAGTGAATTAATTATCCATAGAATTCGAACAGATCATGTACTATCAGCAACAAATATCCATAAAATTTGCCAGTAGTCTAATCCAATCTTATCTATATCATATATTACTTCAGTTGGATTCATAACGAGACCTCTTTAGTTCAGAATCAAATAGATTCTCAGTTTTTCGGAGTTTTCAAGCTTGACACTTTGGAGAGTAGCGCAGTAGAATAACCTATTCGTACATCATCATTTGGACAGTTTGTTCCATTAGATTTTTAATAGTTATATTAGTTACGCAGGTAAGACATAAAGTTCCCATGGCGTGATAAAATTTGGGTTGTCCAAAAAATCCTGAAAAACCCATTTTTCCAGCAATCTTCCCTTAGTTTTTGGGGAAAATGCATGCGGTCTGATGCATGAATTTTCAGTCTGGCATTATCACGCTGATTTCGAACTGATAAAGAATGGAAACCACAAGCGAGAAAACGGAAGTGGATCCATCAAGCAAAGAGCAAGAGAGGGACAGAAAGATAATTTGCTACATTTTATAAATGTGTGGTGATTAGTGATCGTTAATCGATAGTTTTTTAGAAATCGTGAGATGCGATCTGGTGTGATGTAGGTTTCATAAAAACATTTTCTTTATCGTGCCAACGTTTCGATCTTATTGAGATCATCTTCAGGGCCTGGGATTTACAAACATTGTTTATATATTACAATTACATTTTGGATGTGGAAAAGTGAATTTCTGAAACCTACATCACACCAGACCGCATCTCACGATTTCTAAATAAACATTTTGTAAAGAATTAATGGACGATTGAGCCAAGTTTTGCTTGCTGCATAACTTAAGACATAAACTTCTTAATACATTAAGAAATACGATATACATACGTACCATTACGATACTTCCCATGAGAATTCGAGGATTGAAATTTTAACGCTACAAAAGTTACTAGGCCTTTATTTAACGGAAGGATCGCAACGGCAGAGGAATTTCGTGTACGAGAAATATTCACTGATTATTTCAATTCTGATGCTGGATCTCTCACGTGATCATCAAATGCCCAACAATCTTAAAACAAGTTCTAATCGTAACTCTTAATTTAGTATACCCTCATGTTATTCATAATTTAAACACTACTGAAATATACACGTACTTTACTCACCCCCATCTGTTTTCATTTCTGCTCCTATAACCTCCAAAGAATATTCTTGAAATCTGAGTCCGTGTATTTGCGTGAACAAACAAGGCCGTGAAAACTGCAAAATATCGTCAACAAGAAATCCGACTATAACGGTCCGGTGACAATGACAACACTGTTCACGGCCACGGTCGCGCGCCGGACGTGTGTGAACAAAGCCATCTCGGTCAAATGCCGGTCACGACACTGTCACGTCACTGAAGTGTGTGAATCGACCTTTAGAAATTTCGACCACTTTTTCACCGAGGAACATTCTGGATCAAAGTAGGGTCTTGAAAAAAAAAAAAAAAAACGAGAATTTTTATTGCCAAGCTAACGTCCTATTTTAAGATCATCATCAGAGCAAAACAACCTTAAATATACCTACAGATTGACATATAGTGTTTTACAGGCAATCTCAAATTTCCTCGAAGACCGACTCATTCCCAATATTGGACTGTTACAGTCAATCTGTGGACATATTTAAGATCGTTTTGCTGTGAAGATGTCCTTAAATAGATCAAAATATTGGTAGTAATTTCACTAATTTGTGGTCCGCTTGACCAATTAATACATTATAATTAATTAAGGTTTTTAGTTGAGATGAAAAAAAGTTAATGGCACGAGCGGGATTCGAACCCACGATCTTCGGCTAGATACGCCGCTGCTNAGCTCAAGTGGTAGAGAAGCGGCGTATCTAGCCGAAGATCGTGGGTTCGAATCCCGCTCGTGCCATTAACTTTTTTTCATCTCAACTAAAAACCTTAATTAATTGTAATTGGTAGTAATAACTGAATTCGATTTTTTCTTCGAAATCATACTTTAATCCAGATTGTTCGTCTAATCTGTTTTACCATGCTCTACATTCGTCCAACAAAATGTTACAATTACCTATTCTCAATGGTTTTGTTTCGTAGATACGAGCCCGACTTTCTCGAACCGTTAGAACCTATGAAAAAGACATAAAAACAGAGAAAAGCTCAGACCAATTACTGAAAATTAAAAATTAGTTAAAGAAACGTAGTGATAGACAAAACAATCTTTTGGTTTTGTAAATTTTTGTAGCTGGTACAGACAGCCAATTTAGAGTTCTTTATTTATATAGCTGCACACTGGATGACTCATGGCCGTCCAAAATATTTTAAATCAGTCATACAAATTATACTGACATTATCTAGGAAAATTATGTCCTTGGAAAAACTCCTAATCTAGAGCATTAAGGAAAACATAGAAATGTTGTAGATAGCCTTCTAACCTTCTAAAAAAATTATTTAAAATTATCATCTCAGACCTTATAGATACGTCCTTATAAATAGGCCTCTAAGTCAGCAGAAGTTAAATAAAATGTTGGTAATGTTATGTCTAATAAGACATAGACCCAACCTGCATGAAAACAAAGAACAACAAGGAATATGGTAATTTTAGTTTACTAAATTTACATAAATTAGCTTATAAATATCGAAGATACAGTATATAATAATGTTCTGGTCAATTATATCACAAACTATTAGTCGATTGGGTTCTTTGGCGTAGCGTGGGCGGTATCAGAATTTTCCCCAGTCTTCTTTGATAAGGTCACCAGCCTTTTCACCGATCATGTAACAAGGGGCCATCGTGTGAGCACCGGTGATGGTCGGCATCACAGAAGCGTCGGCGACCCTCAACCCCTTGACGCCGTGGACGCGCAGTCGGTTGTCTATCACCGAATCCGCCGGACTTCGGCCCATCCTCGCCGTGCAGCACTGGTGGTGAAGCTGGACGGGAATCGTCCTCAGTACGCATTCCCAGTACGGGTTGGTCCCGAAACGGAGGTCTTCGCAGCCTGGGATCGGCGCTGTGTACAGGGTTGCGCCGATTTCCTGAAAAGCGGTCGTTTTCGACAGCCTGATCGCCGCTTTGATCCCTTCGACAATGACCTTGCTGTCGGCCGGGTGAGTAAGAAAATTGGCGAAAAGTATCGGCGGGTCCCGTGGGTCAACGCTCCTCAGTCTCACCTTCCCCCGGCTCTCTGGGTACATGCCCATCGGCCAAATCGAAAATCCTTCGGCGTATCCTATCTTCGAAAACGGTGGATAGTAAGTCTCGTCCGTGATCCCCATCGTTCTCCTCAAGATGATCCCGTCGTCCGAAGCGATTGTTATAGGCATGAATATAAATTCAACATCCGGTTTCGACAGGTTAGGATTTGTCCTTATATAAGCCAGACCTTCTGCTCCGTTATTCGCGTAAGGACTCGTTCCGTAATTGTACCATTTGTAGAAATAAGGTAAAGAGTTAAAAATCATTTTCCTTAGTGTGTAACTGTCTGTTGTATTTATTAAAAACGACGCTCCTATTGTCGTCAAATGTTCTTGTAGATTGTCACCTACCGGGAGGTCTTTTATTAAAGGGATATTTAACTCCTTGAGGTGGTCCCTCGGTCCGATTCCGGACAACATCAAAAGTTGAGGTGTGTTGAAAGCCCCAGCGGAGAGTATTATCTCTTTGCGGGCGAAAACTACCCTTTCGATACCATTTTTAATAAAGACAACACCGTGAGCCCTATTGGTTTTCGGATCGATTAAAACCCTTGTGACTAAAGCCTTTTTTGCAATGTGAAAATTCGGGGCGGATTTGATCGGAAACAAGTAAGCTGTAGCTGCACTGTGCCTTCTTCCCTTTCTTATGCTGGTCTGCGTTTTGGAAAACCCTTCTGGCGTCCTTCCGTTGTTATAATCGACGATCCTATAGCCGAACTCTTTTCCGGCTTTGAGGAAACGATTGATCAGGGAAGACGGGAATGGGTATTCGATGTTGATAGGCCCTTCGGTAGAGTGGAAAGATGAATTTCTGAGACTGGGAATGGTCATCCGTTCAGATCTCAAGAAATAAGGAAGAACATCTTTGTACGACCAGCCCTCCTGGCCCCATCTGTCGTAGTCAGTCGGGTGCCCTCTGGTCATGATCATCCCGTTCATGATCGTTCCGCCGCCTACGCCTTTTCCCGAAGGCCAGAGACAGAGTCCGTCTTCCAGGCCGAGACAAACCTTGTTCTGATGCTCGGCTTTATAGCCCCAGCTGTAGTTGGTCAGGATGAAAAAAGGACTAACGGACGGTAGGTCGTTGTATACCGTTCCTTCGATGCCCGCCTCCAGGAGGAGAACCTTCCACTCCGGAATCTCCGTCAACCTCCGCGTGACTGCTGATCCGGCAGGTCCTGATCCGACGACAATGAAATCGTATTCTTGAAGGATCGGCTGATTCTCGAGGAAACGCTCTTCCCTGAACGGGAGACCCTGTCGTTCGTAGATCCTCCGGAGCTCGTCCATAAACGGGCTGTTGAAGCCGATGATTCCGGCGAAAAAACTGACGACCAGCAACGATTTCAGCATCTCTTTTATTTTGCCCATTCCTGAAATGACAAAAGTTTTAATACATAAATGATTCATGAAAGCTTGTTTTATTTTAAAAAAATTATAATTCCCTCCAAATGACATTAATCTTGAGATTAAATTGCAAAATGTCAAGGCTTAAATTCTCATTGATCTCACCTCAAAAACTTGATATTAACGTCCTGGTTTTTTATAGTTAATCGTCTTGTTTTCGTTAAAGTAACCTTATTAATCCCTGATTCTACAATTTTCAATTGAGTACTCCTTGAAATAATTAATAATAATAATACAAAATAATAATATGTAAATTTATCTCAACCCTCACTTTTCCTTGGTTGTTTTATTTTTATATTTAAGTAGTTAGGTGTTTTGGTGAACTTCTTTAAACAATTAATTTGACTGCTAGCGTGCTGATTGTTTGCTGGCTCTGCTGCCAGCTCTCTCAGCACACTTTTTTTTTAGATCAAATCTTACTGATAGCTCTCAGTCTCTCTCTCTCTCTCTCTCTCTCTCTCTCTCTCTCTCTCTCTCTCTCTCTCTCTTTCTCAACTTAAATTTTTAAAAATTAAAGATTTAACCGCGTACAGTATTCCATGTAAAGTTTTTAAAATTTCAAAAACAAAGGAACATCCTCGATGCCTTCGAACATAAAAAAATCACGCTGGGGTTATTTCTTGATACAGAGAATGCTTTCGACATACTATTAGCAAAAATAAAAGACAGCCTACCGGACACCTACTATCGACTTATCCTTTCCTACTTGTCGGAAAGAACTTTCTGTTTCAAAGTACAGGATGGCATTTCTGACCCAAAGCCCATATTTTCTGGTGTCCAACAAGGCAGCATTGTGGGGCCTCTCCTCTATTTGGTGAGCGTGAGTGATCTCTCATCCCAAATCCCAGGAACAGTCAAGACAGTACTTTTTTCTGATGATGTGGCTATTGAGCACAGGGGAAACCAGCGCAGAGGTACAACAGACTCTGCAACAAGTCGCTGACCAAGTATCTGAATGGGCGGACAAGTGGAAAGTCAAGCTAAACCCAGATAGATCAAAATTAGTCCAGTTCACTTATCTGAAAAAAAAACCAATGAAGAACCACCGGTACTAATTAATGAGAATATCAGTGAATCGACACACACAAAATATCTGGGTGATACTCTTGACCGGAGGCTGACTTGGCATCAACACACAAGCGATGTGATCAAGAGATGACGATGCAGACTAATTGACCTCAAACCACTACTTAAGAGCCCAACTATCAGTCTGAGCAACAAAAGACTAATATATATGTCCCTCATTCGACCCATATGGCTATATGGCTCTGGTGTTTGGGCCTCAGCATCGAACAGCCAAATTAAGAGAATCCAGACATTTCAAAACAGGGCCTTACGGATTTTAACTGGAGCCCCATGGTATGTGCGAAATACCACACTACACCGAGACCTGGACATTCCTCTAGTCTCTGAGAGACAGCTACCGGAAGATGTTTAGCAAGTTCCAGTCCCACCCAAACACAGAAATCCAAGGAATACCGGACCACCTACCTCCTACACGTCCACACCGCAGACTCAAGCGCAAGCGACACACCGATATGATAACTATAATTAACTGTGATAAACTGAGATTAAATTAGATTAAATCATTTATAAATAATGGTGGGAGTTGCTGAGCTTAAAGATCCAAGAATTAAGAATTAATTGATGCCGTTAAACATTATGCCACAACTATAAGGTACTACTTACTAATTTACTAAGTTGCTAATTTATTCACAAATATCCCGTTGAAGAATATACTAAACTCATAAAGCAAAAACATACCGAGAATTCTATTAACGAATTTGTAAAAAATGATATAATAGTCCTCTTAAATATATGCCTACTGTGTAATTATTGTAAATTCAATAATAAATTTTACGAACTGAAAGGGTTACCAATGGGGTCTCCATTATCCCCACTTTGTGCTGAAATATTCATGGATAATTTCGAAAAAAATCTTTTCAAATCAAAGAACAAATTAATTAAATCTGTTCATTTCTGGAAACGCTATGTAGACGATATTTTGTGCATATGGTCGGGAACATTAGAGGCTCTCGAAGAATTCCTCCAACTAATTAATTCTCTATACCGTAATATAAATTTTACATTGGAAATTGGCAAAGATGGTTGTTTGAACTTTTTGGACCTAAAACTGTTCATAATAAACAACCTAATAGAAAAAGACATATATAGAAAACCCACAGTTACAGACACTATGATACCAGCGGATTCTTCCCACCCATGGTCCCAAAAGGCTGCTGGTTTCATTTGCCTCATAGACCGGATGTTAAAACTTAACCGCTAACACCAGATAACTATAAAAAAGAATTAAAAACTATTAAAACCTTAGCAAAAAACAATGGATACAAAGAAATATTTATTAATAGGTTGCTAGTTAAAAGAATAAAAAAATTAACTTTAAACGAATCAACAATAGGACTCAGTCACCCCACCACAAATGAATCAGTAGGTTTCCGTTGTTTGCCATACATTGGTGAATTATCGCAAAAAGTTAGTAAAATTTTTAAACAAGAAGGTTTTAGAATAGCTTTTAGAAGTACGGGTTCACTTAAAAACATCCTCTCAAAACCTAAAGACAAAGTAGACAACTTGGCAAAAAGTGGGGTTTACCAACTCAATTGTAATGATTGTGATATTAAATATATAGGACAAAGCGGTAGAGAAATAAAAACAAGAGTAAAAGAACACTTGCCTAAATCGAGCAAATTTTCGGAATTTAAGGACCATCTAAAAGAAACAAAACATAATTTCAATTCAAATTTAAATACAAGAGTGTTACATAGTTTCAACAAAGGGAAAGAACTAGATTGGTTTGAGAAATTTGAAATTAAAAAATGTAAAATTGAACATGGTGATAAATGCATTAATAATATAACAGATTTTGATCTACCTCCCATTTTAAATATGTACATAAATAATATCAAACATCCAAATAATTAAACTAATTATTTTAATTGTTATTATTTTTATAGTAATTTAATAATATTAAGTATTTACTAGTATAATATTTATTTGTGTTATAATTTCCGCGTTTCGCAATTCAAATTGAGCCCCATTAAACAAATCAGCTGCTAATTGGAATGTCGCGTTGGCGGAGGTATCAGCGGGTTCACTTTGGCAATTCATGTCGAGAGACGTGATTGTAGAAGTCCTTCAACCTGATGATGAGCTAAAAGGCTCGAAATCCGGATCGTTGCAAAACAACTTACTGTGAGTAGGAACCATCTTTTTTAAAAAGGATTGAACACCACACTCACTCCATCATTTATCATTTCTATAAGGTACTATGTACAAAAGTTTAAATAAAGTTATATAAAAAAAAGGACTAGATGTTAAAATTAAGTACAAGTCTGAAATTCATGATAAAGATATTAGGTTTGCAAACTTCCGTCGCGAGCCGCAAAGTACAAAACCAAACCCTTTAGCAATGACTTTTTTTCGAATGTATTTTCTCGAAATTACATATACAACTATGTAAAAACATCGACAATTAACAGAATACTCTTTGAAATTACAGTATTGATGCTAAAAATTCACTGTTGTAAATTTAATTTTTTAATATTACTATTTAGTGACTAAAACTTTAATTTCCAGATTTATATTGACGATTTATAATCCATGTTTTGTATTGAATTGTATTGAAAAAATGTTTTTCTTCACGTATTATATTAGCAATTTATTTTTTAATTGCTCAATTAGCCTGTTAAATGTAATATTTCTTTTAATAGGCAATTGTAAATTAATACATATGTAGTTCAATGTAAAACGAATAGATGTAACATATTGAACACAAAAATCAGGTTATTAGAAATAATTAATATTCAATTAATTAGAAGTAGAAAAACTTAGATGCGCATTGTATTTCACATTAGATGTAAGAATCCTTCGGACCAAATTTTATGTGATTGATAAATAAAACATTCATCATCATCTCTATCGCACACTTTCGCTCTCTAGCTTGCTGAATTTATATGCATTTAATTTTTAATGATAGTGCACGGGTATGGAAGGATCAAACATACATCAAAGATTGTTAGTTCGCAGAAAAATAAAATAAAAAGACTATCGACACCAGTTCCTCTAGAGGGGAAAACTCATTGATTAATATTTTTGAAAAATGAGACCATAGCGGCCGTGATCCTTAGGTCGTCAGGTGTCATTTGTGAGAAAGAGGTCCTGGATTAAAATCGTAGCGATGCCCTTGGAATTTTCTAACCACACAAAACTTGCATTAATTCAATAAATAAAGCAGGATGAAATGAATAATATTAACATTAATTTCATCCATTTTTTGCTCGTTTTTTATTGAGCATGTCTTAAGAAAAAAAATATGAATAAGTAACATTCACAATGTTTAAAAGTAAACTGATTCTCGGCACTAGTAATTATATTTAGTTCTTAAATTGCTATTATTGATTTGCTAATTTTTAATAATTATATAATTAAATACTAACACAGGTTTTTTATTGTTAAAGTACGTTAGCGCTATAATAAAGCAAAATTAAGTAAAGATTACGTCAAGGCCTAAGACAAATTGATCCTTCATAGTAATTAATATGATTTATAACTACGATCATCAATCTAACTCAATATCATTTTTTTTTTTTAATTGAACTGCAGCGATCGTGATCCTTAGGGTCAGTGACAGAAAGAGGTCCTGGGTTCGAATCCTGGCAACGTCCTTGGGATTTTCCGACCCATCATGACTTCTATTAATTAACAAATGGCCCGTGTCGAAAAAATATGAAACGCCCTCATTCTTTTGATTTTATAATTAGTTTCTTTTAAACTAAGACATTACTATTCATTATCACGTGCACGTATTCTTTTGGCATAATGACATTGACATATTTTTTTTTCGTGGGGGCGTGCTCAATTTATAATTTTGAGGGCTGGCAGTCAATTTTTAAATAAGTGTGTTTATTATTTCGTTCATTTTGTTCTGTTGATGTCAGTCGTAGGTTTAATGGACAAACTCCACGGTTTAATGAACATATAATATAGTTCAATTACTAATTAACTATTACTAATAATAAACCAATCATAAATTTTGGATTTTGTTGGAATTTGGTCACCTTGAGATTATTAAAGAGTGATGCAAAAGTTTACATCGGACAAAACGGTCCTTCACTGAACATCAACAACAAACTAGCGATTTCCATTCATATGATATACCTAGTTAGCAGAGAGAACTGGAATCACGGCACTAGACTTAAGAGACATCTTAATAGAAGACTTCGGACGACTACCGATTTTTTGGACCGAAATTGGTTTTGGACTCAACTAACACTAGCGACCATTTTGGACATATGGACTGGAACACTAGGGTTCCGCCAAACGATCCGATTTCCAATGCATCTAATATTTCAATAAAATACCTCAGATAAAGTGTCAAGTCATAACTACGATACTTATCTCATCAACAATTCCCTCAAATTCCATTCCAAGCCCTCGAACCACCTTAACCCTTTTATCCATGCCCTTTCTACACTTTCCCATCACGAGACCCTTTCTCTACCCTTAATCCCTCAATATTGAGTGCCACCGTTGGCTGTTTTCTCTTAACATATATCCTCCGATTTGACATGAAAATTACATTCTGATTTTATTTGAAAATGACTAAAATAAACAACTTTATGGATACACAACTGGCATAAAACATTCTTTATAACCTAGGTTTATAATATTTCTAAAATTTGAGTGAATTGAATTTTTTAAATATTTTACAAGCAACCGATCATCACAACTCACAACCTCTCACAACTTCAATTAATTTAAGCCATGAAAAGCTTTACGACTTAAATATTTTGTAGGCTCGAAAACACACAAAATATGTAATGTTTTAAAACCTTTAATTAATAATTATTCAGAAATCGTGAGATGCGGTCTGGTGTGACGTAGGTTTCAAAAAAACATTTTCTTTATCGTGCCAACGTTTCGATCTTTATTGAGATCATCTTCAGGGCCTGGGATGTACAAACATTGTTTACATTTAGCAAATACATTTAGGATGTGAAAAAATCTATTTGTTAAATGTAAACAATGTTTGTAAATCCCAGGCCCTGAAGATGATCTCAATAAAGATCGAAACGTGGCACGATAAAGAAAATTTTTCTGAAACCTATATCACACCAGACCGTATCTCACGATTTCTGAATAATTATCGAACAACGGTGACTAATCACAACACACCTTTAATTAATATTTTAAAAAGTCAAATTGTAACAGGATCATTCGATTTTTTCGTCAAAGTCAATTTTTTTAAGCTATTTTTAAAATTTTACAAACTCACTTGAAGACGCCAGCTCAAAATTTATGTGAATGATGTAATAATTATACAATAGTTTCTTTAAAATTAGGACAAAAATTTTCTACAGAGAGTAAAAAATCATAAAAATTGTAATTCCAGATAATAAACAAATAACTATTTAAGAAAATAGGTTCATTCAATTATTTTCTATACTTTTCATTTGTCTCGCATTTATTTTCCCAAAAGATAATTAACTTTTTAAACAAAAAGCTTTCAAATATTTAGAAAATATGGCCGAGATGAACAGTCGATTTTGAAAAGAATATTTTTTTTAGTTGGTTCCTTATTAGGAACTTTCAAACAATGTGTCTGAAACATAATGTCACACCTCATTTTTTTACCTAACCCCCATTAATTTTTGACGTAGAAATTGAATTGTAATCAAATCTGTAATTTTTACATAGAACATTATAAAAATCAAAAATATTTTCTTAAAAATTACCATTTAAAAATTCAAGCTAATTTTAATTTTGAGGAAAAAAGTCTGTGACACTCGTACTGTCAAAAAATTGATAACAATGAAGAAAACAAATACTAGATTATCGATACAAAATACTGTCAAAAATATTGTTAATTATTAAAAATAAAAACGTATTTTTTAAAAAGAAATACTTGATCATCGGGTAAAGAAATCAAAAAAGAGATACTCACTTCAATTCGTTTTAATCCAAATCAATTTCTTCAAGGTGAGGATAATACTTGGTGTTTTCGTGTCATTTCTGCATGAGAGAAGAATGCAGAATGAATTGGCCGGCCGAAGGTGCAGGAATCGCTTGGTTCGACTTAGCGAAGAGGGGCGGACGACAGGGCCACTTTCCGACCCACCTAGACTAGGCCCTCGAACTCCGGCTTCCAACAACAAATCGAAGGTGAGCTTTGAAGGTCCGATGCACTTCCTGTCACTTCCTTCCTTCCGATCCGAAAGGACCTTCAGGCGAGAAGTCCAGTTCGCGGTGGGTCGTGGTAAATCTTGGTGATAAATACCCTGCAGGACCTATCGTCTCGAACTCAAGGTTATTTTGTGTTGACAATCTTCTCAAAATTAGACGCAGAAGTATATGCTATTCTGAGCTTTAAAAAAATACATTTGCATATAGTCAAAACATTCGTATGGAAATCATGCAATATATAATGAAATATTGAATGAGTGTAATCCTGAAGACATTTATCAGTTTAGTTCAGTGAGAAAAACCTGTTTTTAAAGCTCCAACTGACTGTAGTACGCAAAATTTTAATACCCAAAAATAAATCAAACAACAAACTCCATTGTTAAATAGATAAAAACGTGATTACTATTCACTATATACGTTTTATCTTTCTCTTTTCATTAATTACATAAGCATACTAGAAGTGCCAAAAAGAACGTCAATTCTCAATAATCCAAATTAAGTAAATTATAATCAAATAACAATGCATAAACATAAAATATTATTAATAATTAAACAATTCGTGATTATTATAAGAAAACATGAACATGTTTGTGTACTATGGAAATTTTGATTATCACGACGAGCATTGAACAACATTAAATTCATAAGATCATATACCAATTATACTATTTGAAAATTCAAATAATTAATACATTCATATGAAAGTGAAAATGATCTCAAAATAAATCATAAACTTTTCTATGGTCATAAAAATTTCCTATCCTCACTCCCAGTAGGAGAGAATCGTGTTTTTAATTTACTTAAATAATAATAATTTTTAATTTGTTCCAAATTTTATTTTGTATAGTTGTTTTAATTTAATATTTTACCTTTACGATCCCAAGTAGTGAATGAGAAAGTGAGTGAGAGTGAAAGAGCGAAATAGTGAGTGAGAGAGTGAGAGAAAAAGAGAGAGAGAAAGAGAGAGAGAGAGACAGAGACAGACAGACAGGCAGACAGACAGACAAACAGAGACAGAGAGGGCGAGTTAATGAATAAGTTAGTGAGTAAGTCAATCTGTGAATGAGGGAGAGTGAGATAATGAGTGAGGGACCAGGTGAGTGAATAAATGAGCAGTGGAGGCAAGTGTTGAGTAAGTTTGGGAGAGCTTTAGTCAGTGAAATTGGAGTGTGAGTGAAAGAGAGAGTGAGAGAAATAGTGAGTGAGTGAAAGAGAGAGTGAGAGAAATAGTGAGTGAGTGAAAGAGAGAGAGAAATAGTGAGTGAAAGAGTGAGAGAAATAGTGAGTGAGTGAGTGAAAGAGAGAGAGAGAGAGAGAGAGAGAGAGAGAGAGAGAGAGAGAGAGAGAGACAGAGAGGGTGAGTTAATGAGTAAGTTGGTGAGTAAGTCAATCTGTGAATGAGGGAGAGTGAGAGAATGAGTGAGGGACCAAGTGAGAGCATAAATGAGCAGTGGAGGCAAGTGTTGGGTGAGTTTGGGAGAGCTTTAGTTAGTGAAATTTGTGAAGGACCAAGTGCTTGTGTTAGTGAGTGAAAGAGAGAGAGAGAGAGATAGAAATGTGTGTGTGTTTTGTGGGTGTGTGTGCACGCGAAGGAGAGAGTAAATGCGGAAGTAAGCAATTTTGTAAATAGGTTTGTATGTATGCGTAAAAGAGCTAGTCATTGCGTAGATGAGTGAATATGTCAGTGAGATATTTAGTGATTTAGTAGTAAAAGATTTTGTGAGTGAGCGAGTGGGATAGTTAGTTTTTAATTATATTAGTGAATCAGTAAAAGTGTAAGCAATAAAATAAGAGAGCAAGCGAGTTGATGAGAGAGGAAATGAATGTGTGAGTAAGCGAGTAAAGGTGCAAGTGTATGAATCCTTGAGTAGTAGGTGAAATATTGAGTTTCAGAGAAGTAGTGAAAGATTTGGTTTCTGTGAGTAAGTCAGGTGAAATATTTAGTGTGTGAGTGTATGAAAGAACGAAGATTTTAATATTCTGCTGAACTTATGAATGAGGAAGTGAGTGATGAAGTGAGTTTGTGTTGTAGGAATGAGGGTGTGAATGAATGTGCGAGAAATGCATGAATCACTGAGTAATTGTGCGAGAGTATCAGTGTGTGAATGAGTTAGTGAGCAAGCGTATTAATTGACGATTTTTTTATTGAAACGATTATCATCAAGTGATGTAATTTAACATGTTAATACATTTTAAGTTTAAGTTCAAGTTAATTAATTTTATCTATTAATCAACTCACTTTTTATATGTTTATTGACATAATTAAGCCCAGTCCAATTATATAAAATTAATCACTGTCTAAACTCAAAGAAAAACGCCAAAAGAAAAAAATCAATTATAGTGTGTATGGTAAACATACCACATATACATATGTGGCCAATATTATTTTTTAAAAAATTAAAAATAATTAGGCATATTATAAAATAAAATGTGTTTAATTTGCTAGTTATTTTAGTAGCTTAATACAAAAATGCCGCGAAAATCAAGATAACTTCTACGAAATCGTTGCTTTCATTTATCCGCTCGTTAAGCTTGGATTTAGACTGCGGACAATCCGGAAAATAATTAATGTAACTGTTCTTCGGCATCTAGGAAAAGTTTTCAATTGATGTCAATGCCAATGGTACAACAGGGATTCAAGGTCTTCGAGATATTTCGCCTCGGGGATGTCGGACACCGTGAAAGTAAACCGACCACTCCAAGACACAAGGAAGTGACGCCGTTTTCCAAAAAAAAAATTACTTTCCTTTTCGTCTGTTTGTACTTAAAGCACCAAATGAATTGCTCCAAGTCCAAAAATAATTAGACATTCACTCGGGTGTCATTAGACGCTGGTAATTCTCATGGGGGGGGGGTTAAGAAGAAATAGGTAAATAATTGACTAATCGTTGCGTTAAGTCCTGCGCTTACAGTAGCGTTTAAATTTACTTGTGATTAGCCCATTTCAAAATAAGTCTCCAATGTAAATTTTTTATATAAATAGATTTGTTCTGTATAGTAAGTATGTCCAGTTCATATGATCGTTTATGTCTTTCTTTCATTTATTTCTCTTTGTTTTCTTCCTTGAACTATGCCAATATCTTCCTCATTTATTCTGCCAATCTCTTTCTCTCTCTCTCTCTCTCTCTCGCTCTCTCTCTCTATTCCTCCTCTTTCTTTTTTTTCTTTCTCTTTCTCTTACTCAGTTCCTCGTCCTCACTTTCATTTTGTCTCTGCCACCATCCCCCTCCTTGTTTTTTCAGATCTTCGCTAAGTTAACAACATACAACATAACAACAGAAAACAAAGGATTTCCTTCTATAATGAAACTCAGAAGAGTGGATTATCCCCAAACCTGCTGGCACCCACTTTTGGATAATCTCGATTGAGCAACCAGGCCCGTTTGCGCCAGTATACCTCCAGTTGGATAACAACAATTCGAAGGACCGTAACTTATTTGAAACGCGTGTATAATTTATCGTAGAGGAGAACTGTTTCTCTTTTTTTCATTGCAAACGCACTCGAGTACTCGGCCAAAAATTACATGCCATTTTTGAAAGAATTACGGCATTACGTTCGATAAAAAAAATATATATATACGAGTATAAACATACCAGAACATAAACCGTATCGACATCAATCATTAATAACATTATTTTCAAATCTGCCTGACACTGAGATATATATTCAAAGAAAAATATATTTAAGATATAAGGCATGAATTATTGCAAAAATGTGAATTATAATAGCTTTTCATCCCTAAAAATTACTAAATTCACTAATTTCGTGGTCCGCTTGACCAATTAATACATTACAATTAATTAAGGTTTTTTAGTTGAGATAAAAAAGTCAATGGCACGAGCGGGATTCGAACCCACGATCTTCGGCTAGATACGCTGCTGCTCTACCACTTGAGCTATCGTGACCTCGATCCACTCGAACACTAACTTCCTATCTCAACCCCACCTTTTGAATTTTCCCTCCTATTTGCCATTTTTTTTATCTCAACTAAAAAACCTTAATTAATTGTAATGTATTAATTGGTCAAGCGGACCACGAAATTAGTGAATTTAATTATTTAAATCACTAATTTCTCTCCGTAGCCATTTCATTTGTCGTCGAGAATCCAATCCGATTACACGACATTTGAAAAATGTCAAAAAGTAGGGAAAATTCAAAAGTTGGGGTTGAGATGGGAAGTTGGTGTCCGAGTGGATCGAGGTCACGATAGCTCAAGTGGTAGAGCAGCAAATTTTGGGTTTTTTTATTCCCCCCGAAACTTGCACTTATCACTTATCGAGAGTGCAAAAAAATTCAACTGTCAATTCACGATCCATTTGTTACTTAGCGGCGTATCTAGCCGAAGATCGTGGGTTCGAATCCCGCTCGTGCCATTGACTTTTTATCTCAACTAAAAAACCTTAATTAATTGTAACTAAAAATTACTTTTTTCTGCTTCTTTCTCTATGAAACACTGGAAAATCTCTTCCTTTTAGCTTTGTTGCTCTTTGAAAAAAATCGTATTCAGTTTCATTCATTTATGCACTAAATCTTTATACGTTGGCCAATTTTGCATGTTGGCAGAAATTCCAGTTGTTGACAAATTGTAGTTTCTGCAGAATTGTAGGCCCTTCGCTCTCAAAAAAATTACACTTTCAGGAATAATTATTGCACAGCTTAATGAAATTTTCTTATAATGTGTCAACTTCTATTCAAAATTTGATCGATTTTTTGGTGATACTAGGTCGAAAATATGTGTCCGAGAGTTCTCGCCAAGGAACACTAAAAGACGAGAAATTGTATAGAGTTAATTTAAATAAGTTATAAGATTATAATAAATGAAATGTACAAAAAAAGAATCTTATAGTAAAGTAGGGAAATGATTGATTTTAATAAAACTCGTTTAGATTCGTTAAAATTAATTACGAAATATTATGGCAAAAAAAAAAACATTTTTAGATAGATTCGCCAGGGGCAATTTTTTGCAAACAAAAAATTTGAAAATAATAAATTTTGTTTTTTTTTATTCCCCCCGAAACTTGCACTTATCA